CATATATACAATTCTGTTAATCATGTTAGAGACACCCATTCAATTTTACCCCAGATCATCATTCCTGTATTTGTTGAAAATCAAAGGCAGCCAAAAGGTTCAACAGATCAAATACAAAGTTGTCAATAAACAATACCATGACTATTGTTTATTGTGATGTATGGTATATTTTCTTTTACAGAAAAAAGAAAATATATGTAAAAGAAAAAAGGTCCTGTCTAATGGTCTCTGGAATTAAAGGCAGTTTGAAAATGGGAGTCTTTACAAGAGATTCGAATTCAATTAAATCTCCACTAATGCCATCCATTTGTCTTTGCTGCAGAGCTTAAAATCAAGAGAACGGATGAAAGGCTTCTGAATGGCAGTTTGAATTGAAATAGAATTGGGTATGGGCTTTGAAAGGGTTAATCTGTACTTGGGGTGCACTGATTCCAGTTTTCTGGCCGGACCTACCGATTCCCATTTTGTCTGGTACCGATGTTTTGGTTTTTTTTTAGTCAGAAGAAATGCTAAAAAAAAGACAGTTGCTATGTTGGCAACAGTGGGTTAGCATTAATGGATAAACGGTGAACAGTAGGAGAAAGAAGGAAAGGGGGAGGGACATACATTTTGATGCCATAAGAATATTAGTGAGAAATCACCAATGCTGTTTCAGTGCTGTAATGAGCTCTGAGACTTGATTGAGATGTTCACAAACTTGATTAGCAACTATTCGTTTCAACAATATTAGATAAGAAAGATCTGTGGTGGACTGGTGTAAGGAGGGTGTAAAAAATTTTAGTAAGGGAACTAAAATTTGGATTATGGATGGACAGATAGACAGATTAGATATAGGTCTGTAAATGCATACCAGAACACATGTCCATTGTCTTTCTTGCCATTTGAATAACTCTTATGCCAAAAGAACTGGATTGCATTCTTGTGGGTAGAGTTGACATATTGCTTTCTCTTTGTGTTCAGTAATGATGAACAATTTTGGCAATAATTAAAAGTTGTGTTTTGTAAATTTTGCATTTTTATTTTATTGTGGGAATGAGTAATATTGCCTGTAGATTAAGAGCAACTTCTTCCAATAATCCAGGAAGGTCTGATGATGCATAGCTTTTCCTGCATGACGGAGCATCTTTTAACAAGGTAAAAGTTATCAAGTGGCTCAAAAATCCAAGCAGGTTCATATTGGACTTATGGCCAGAAAAGTCTCCAACTTTCAGCCCTCGAAACATTATGTGGTTGGTTCCTATGGTGGACCAGAAAGGTCAACAAAATGCAAAAGCCATGACATAACAGCAACCAAACACCTACAACAATAGTTATGCTTCAAACAAAGTTATGCTTAAAAGAAGAGGTATACAAAAACAAATTTTATGTGAAAAACAGAAGTGATGCTAAAAACGAGTTATACTAAAAACTAAAATTACGCTAAAATGAAAGCTATGCTCAAAAAATGGAAGGTATGCTAAGACAGAAGGTATAGCCTTCTGGGATATACTAAGTTTTCCAAAAGGAAACAAAGAAACAGAAGTTACAAAACTATGCACTAAGGAGACAATGTGTTTTTTCTTCTGCAGTATCCTTTAACAAACCTCTTGTTTTCAGTGTATATATTGGCCATAATTTCTGGTTTCATTACACACAGCAGCAACTCAGTGACAAATTACTGTTTTGGTTATCAAATGGAGGGTTTCATGTAAGAAAAAAACCCCCAAAAAACCCTGGTCAAATCCTTGGCTGCATGCCTGACAAACTATGGTTAAAATGAATCCATAACTACTGGTGTAAATTTTGATTTCAAGACAGAAAAGAATAAACAAAATGAGATACACTCATCTGTTGTTCAATGGCCAATACTGACCTTCTTCTAAATCAGTGCTGGCCAATTTAGACTTTTTTTCAGCAAGTCCATTTGATGAGTTCTCATTTTTAAATCAACATTTACATCTTACAAACACTGACCAAAAGGGAAAAAATATCTGCAGCTTTTTTTGATTGAAGCTATTGCTTAGAATCCAATGGAAAACAGACATTACATATTAACCCCACCTCAATGAAATCAAACAAAGGAGCATCAAAAGCCTTATTTGTTGATGTATTTCAAAAAAGAAAAAAGTGAGACTTTTCAGTTCTGAACCACTTAATGAACTGTCTTGATAGTAACTAACCTGCTAATCACAAGTGCCAACATCGATCACTGCCTGGTTGATCATAAAAACTTTACTGTCTGATTTTAATTATGAGTATCACCTAAGCTAATCAACAACATTCAGTACAGCAAAAAGGTTAACAACATAGGAAACTAAATGAAGTGATACAAAAACTCTGTTTTGTTTTAACTGATCTCCTCAGAACTGTCCAGTAAGTTGGAATACTGCACTGTCTGAAAATTAGGTTGTCATATACATATATACAAATATTCAGCTCAAACATGCAATATGACTGTAGATATTGTCTTCTGCCACTTTATGACAGAAAAGCTCTTAATAATGTGATATAATCAGTCCAGATGCCACACTGAAATGCCTGCAGCATGCCAGGGATTCAGAAAAAAACCCATACTCATGATTATCAGAAACTAGTGAAGGCCGTGGGAGCAGCAGAAACAGCATCAAAAGGTTGACTGCTTGATCCTATTGCATAATTGCTGTGGGATGGAACGTCAACATCACGCTGCCGTTTCACTGGAGACCATTCTTTTCAGAGCGGACCCTCCAGGGACCAATGGGGCAAGGCACAACACATCTGTGGTGCCAACAGCACAACAAGCAAGAAAATAAGATGATGGAGATGCAGAACCTACCCCACCCCGAGAAAGGGAGCGCGCCGTTTTGCGCGTGCACACATACATTGGTCCCAGTCAGCTCTTATTCCGATGACTGAACAATCATTATGGTGGCAAAGCCTACGGTCCCACCCAGGCTGCTGTGTGACAGAACCTTTTCTCGTGTCATAAATATGTTATGTTTCCACTGAATGAAGACAGTTGTTTGTTAACTCGGCTCACAGTGAGGCTGTTCGGTTAGCCGACTACTCACCCATCTCAGCAGGATGTCGCTCCAGAAATCCGAGAAAGAGTTTCAAAACCGAGCCGTAGCAGCCACAGGCCCCGCTTTCCGCCTGGATCCGGGTTCAGGCAGCGGCTTGATGTGAGCTAGCTTATGGAGCCGGATAAGTAGCTACAGTAGCGACCGGGTTTTCCCGTTCGGATAGACGCTGCCGTACCGGCCTGTGCTCCGGGAACGATCAGGTTAACGTTGCTTACTTCCTCTCATGCCCACACCAACAGGCCTCATTCACTGATCGGCGATTCCCAGAAATACTGCCTCACTCGGACAAGGCTTCGTCAAGACATAAGCTAGCTCGGAGAAGCCAACTTCCGCTCTGATCCTTCAAAATAAAACAACTTGGTTTACAAAGTTCCCACCCTAGATGGCGGTAGAACTTCAAAAGTGCGGATGAATGACTGGACTATAGTTTTCAGTACAGCGAAACTAAAGTAGTACTTAACGACGGAGTAAAAGAGCGGGACTAAGAAAGAAAAATTAAAATAAACATGTTTAGTTTCATCATTGTGTAAATGACAAAAGTTGGACAAAAACCGATTCTGTTGGTGTTTTAAATAACAACACAAAACAGCGTGAGAAGACCTCCTTTATTTATTTATTTTACAACAGTGGCGTATCTAGCCCAGTTTCTCAGCACCCCTGAATAGGATTGCCACCCATCCCGTAAAATACGGAGTGATCCCATGTTTGGCCGTTAAATGTGCGTCCCGTATTGAACCGATACATAACTGTCCGATAGACAAGCCTATAAATAAAGTTGCCTTGCCTTGCCTTACGGACCGACGCTGAAAGCGTTTTTTTTTTTTTTTTTTTTTAATCAGCTATAAGAGGGCAGACTTGTATCATCAGCACTTCAATCCAAATGGCATTGCAGTGATAAGTAGCAATGCAGTACTTTATTTAGAATTATTTTTATATTGATGAATGGCAATTGTGTACAGTATTGGATTTATTTATTTGAAGATTATTTTGTAGTTCAGTACAAAATTGTGTATGTATGCAAAAAAATTGATAAATAATGGCTTAGGTTTGATTACTGACTGTTTTGATGTTTTGTAATAAATTAATTACCCAAATCTGTCTGGAGTCACTTAAATAAGATAAAACTAAAGAACAGTGCAGAGTGTTAGGCTGTTTCTGTGTCTGTGTACAGAAAGATGTTTGGTACTGAAACTATGATAGACCCACTTCATGAACTGTGAACTGAAATAGTAAAACCCTGACTCATAATGTTCACTTTTCCATAGATGGACAAACGTTCTTATTTAAAGAAAAAGGCCAAAAGCCACATAATGCTCAGACATAAATAAAGGTAATGCAATTATGATTTTATAATTGCATTAATTATATTATTATAATTAATTATGATAATTATATAATTACTGCAATACAATAATCATTATTATAATGATTTTCAAATAAAGGTCAGATCAACGAGTTTTCATGAGTCATTTACCTGAACTTCTACCTTGATAATAAACTGGTTTTAGTAAAATGATCTTCACCTGACTGGAAATGCATAGTTTAGAGTGGATTTTATTTTTATTTGCTGTGGAGTGACCGGCTGTGTCACTCCACAGCAGCAAGTTCTATGAATTACTGATATGTCTCTTAATTTTGGTTGTGAATGTATGTAAATAAGCAGTTAGATTTAGAAAACGCTTCTCATGGGTCTTATCTCTGCTGGGGGCTAAGCGCCTCTAAATGTCCAATCCTAGAATCGCCCGTTTTACTATTTTGTTATTGCTTCTTTTTAAAACAACAGCTATGATTAAACTGAATATTACAACCTTGACATGATTATATGAGTTGCTTTACCAAGAAATCGATCAGAAGCGCCGTAAAAAATGGTCAAATCTGCCTCTCTGGCTGCAATGCGCGCTCTCGACACAAGAGGAGCAGATTTTCACACAAGACCTCTTCATATTTATGTGACGAGAAGTGAGGAACCATCACCTGATAAAGGTGCGAAAGGCAGAAGAACCTTGTACGGACGAGGGGCAAGTCACAGCACCATCAGCAGACCGCCTCCTCCTCTGCTGTAGCAACACTGCTCCTTCATCATCCTCCTGCTCTTCCTCTTGTGCCGACTGTGCTGTTGATCGCCAGTCTGCAGGAGTCTTCTGCGTCTGCACAGGAGTCATTCCTTCTTCTTCACATTATTTATTGATTTTGGACGAAATCTGGGAGAGTCGAGGAGATGATGGGCAACAAAGAGCGACGTGTAGTGAACGTGAAAGGCTTACTGAGGAGGAACTGGCTGCTTATTGCGACGGTTCTGTCGGTATTGATCGGTAGGTGAACGGTTCTGACGCATTATTTCCGCTCACTGTCCTGTGTGAGACGTGTCTAACTAACCCAGCTCCAGAGCTGTTGTATCTCCATGTTGGGCAGGCAGCCACAGGTTTGGTGCTGGAGGAGAAAGCCTCTCCTGTGTCTGCATGAGCCTCAGTCAAACGTGACCAGACTGAGGTGAGATCGGTTGGTGGGCTGTGGACGGTCTCTTAACAGAGCATCTACTGTGGATGTTTTTGGCTGAATATTTTAGCTTTGTCTGTTTTCCATAGGATGCGTTGCTCATGATGCAGAGCTTCAGTTAAGGATGTTCTCCATAAATATCACTAGCTGAAGGCAATTTTTATCCTTTTTTTAGTAATTACAAATCTTAGTTAGATTTATCAGACTGGCAGAAAAAAAGCAGCTCTCCTCCATACAATGCTACATAGTATTCATGCCTCTAGAACTTCTCATGTGCATTTTATTTAGATGTTATGTGACAGTCCAACACAAAGCATCATGTGATATGAACAGCTGAGGGACAGCTTCATATTAGTGGGCGTGTGCCTCATGTTTCCTCATCTGAAATACTTAGTGCCTGTGTAAGTCAGAGAAAATCTACTTCATTATTGTAGATTCAGTCATGTTCTCACCAAATCTATGAACCATGAATGGTGTGTGTGTACACAGAGTCTTGACCCAAGACCTTTTTGTACATGCAGAAATGCAGTTCAGACCAAAAAGGTTTAAACATATTTAGATTTAAAGTGATGTTTCTTTCAATGAAAATTCATATTGATACAGAGTCCTGACTTGAATCTGATAAGAAATCTGTGAACGGAGCTAAAGATGACCATGCAGTTTTCGGGTGTATCAGAGACAAGAAGCTGAGTACAGAGATATGGTGGACCGCTTTGTGTCATGGTGTGGAAACATTCATCTCATGAATGTGAACAAAACTAAGGAGATGATTGCAGATTTGAGGAGAAACATGATTAGATACAACCCTATTTCCATTATGGGAGAAGAAGTGGAAGTGTTGGAGGAATATAAATATCTCTGTGTTCATCTGGGCAACAGACTGTACGGAGACACAAGTGAAGCTTCAGTCCAGTGAGGAATGAATCTCTAGACTGAAATGGAGAGAAGTAACAGAGCAGACTGTACTTCTTGAGGAAGCCAAGATCTTCTCTAAGTTTGTTGTTGAGAGCATCATCTTTTCTGCCATCATCTGTTGGGGCAGCAGCATCAAAACCAGGGCCATCAAAAGGTTCAACAGCCTGATAAAGAAGGCTGGTTCTGTTCTGGTTCTGCTTTGGTGATGATCGTGGAACCTCTGCAGATGATGATGCAAAAAAGGATTCTTCATAAAAGCAAGAAAATCATAGACAACCCTGACCATGCTCTTCACAAAACTGTATTGGGAAAACAGTCAGAATCTTCTTCAGATTTACTGCAATACAGACTGCTGCAAGAGAGCTTTCCTACCAACAGCCTTTGTTTACGGTCTACACTCTTTGAAGAATTAATGAGTTACAAATACAATTAATTTCCTTTTGGGATTAATAAAGTATTTTTTAATTAGAATTATGTCATCACAAAATAAATCACCATAAAGCCAGTGGAAACAAGTAATTATGAGAAGACTTTGCTTGCTGTGATGCCAATAAAGATTTTTTTTCCCACTGAATATTAAGAAGGGTATGAATACGTTGGTTAAAGCACACCAACTTTATAGCGGAAGCTAATCCTAACTTCAATTCAAATTATATCTACCCTTGAAAAACTACAGAACACAAATTTAATTTCAACATTGTAATTTACATGTGCTATAACACTCTTAGATTTATGTTCATCTTTTTCAATACTGTACATGCTCCACTATTTTTCCTGTTTGAGATATATTTTATGGGGAAAAAAGGAGAGAATGTGAGGGGAGGAAAGAGTCTACCATGAATATAAACATTAACTTCTTGAAAAATTCTTAATAGTCAATGAAATCAAAATTTCCAGACAGATTTAAAACTTTATTCAGGAAAAAGTTTACACAACAGACAAATAAATTAATGCTTTAGAACTTACCTGGAAAAATTAGCTTAGGGGATGCTAAGTGCTCTTAATGTTTTCAAAGATAACAAAAGTGTTAAAGCTGTAATGAAAGAATTAGCTCCTCTGCCAGTGCACTAGAGCAAGTGTGTCTAGAACTGCTAAACAAATACTAATACTCTCTTTTAAACTACTACAACTATATATTTAGATGAGGACCAGTTTTCTATTAATTTTAACAGTCATCAAGCATTAAAACAGTCTGAGTAAATACCAGGCTAATAGAAATCATTGAAATCTTGGCTTTCTGGGTGTATTTTCCCTGATTAAAATAAAAGCGGAAAAGAAAGTTAAAATGCATTAAAGCTCTCTTGTACTCTGAACTAGCCTGGATGTAGATAGTGAAAGGCCAAATTTAAATATCATTGTTAAATTCTGATATTTAAACTTTTGTTTTAACTTATTTAGATTGACGTCAAACAGTCCAAGAATGGCAGAAGCTATGTTTGGTTAATCAGTGTCTCCTTTTATACTGACAGTTTGCTGAATTAGCAGACTGGTATGAGCAGCAGCTACTTTGTTACTGACTTTTTCAGTAACTTTTCCCTCGGCTTTGATAGTTGGAATAACTTTTTGCCTTTTTGATGTTTTAGCTCAGGTATTTCATAACATGTCTAACTCATAGCATGTGACTATAGGTAGGGCTTGAATTTTTATAGAAAGAAAACGATATGAAATGTTATGGCAATTTAAGTGCTAACTATGGAATGTATGTGAAGGTTAATAAATGATCAGTGTCCTAAATTAGAGGTCTCTTTTCTTTCTGTTGTCAAAATGTGAACCTGAACTCCCTCTTAAAACTAAGGGTATACTGATCGGAGTTTTTTAACCTACTGATTCCAATTTTGGCCGATACCAATTTTTGTCTGGAAAGTTGATAAATATAGTGACAAAATTAGCAACAATAGGACAATGGTTAACTGCCTAAATGCAGACGTGAGCTGGTGGGCAGGTCTGTCAGTCAGCTTCTCTTCTAGCAGAGGAGAAAGTGACAGTTGCTGATTTTCAGACCTTTGTGAAGGAAGATAAGAATCAATTCAATTCAGTTTATGCAGCACCATTTCATAACAGATGTCATGTCAAGATCAGTGGATAAAATCGATTTCACATGTAAATGTCAGGATGATTGCTGATCTCCCAAAATTAAGGAAATCAGGGTCAATTTCTTGGTGTGCCCCCACTTAAAGGTTTGGTCAGATTTTTGTAACTGGGATTCTGTTGGGAATTTGTGAGTAACTATTATCTAAGCTACAATAATAAATGCTGTTAACAGCTTCTAAAAACTCAGATAAAGTTTACCTAGATGCTAATTTGTGTGGGGCTAAGACAAAATTGTTTTCTATCTTCTTAAAGCATCCTTAGTCAAAAATGTCACACTGTGTTGCACTATGAGAACAAGATTTTCTAAACTGTTAAACCGCCAAGACATTAGACTGCTATTTGCAGTTAAGATCACAATTATTCCCACCCCTAGATTTCTATTTCAGATTTTTTAATTCTGTTTCTCATAAGAAATGGGACAGCCATCTCTAAAAAAGATAATAAAACAATATATCAGGATCAGTCCTCTTGACTTGATAAGGCGCTATACATGTACATAGTCTGTAGTCTGTGGAGTTGAGGAGGCAGAGGGAGGGTACAAATCCTGGGAATAGAAAGAGGAGCAGATAATGTGAGGGTCATTGGTCTTTTAAGAAGTAAGAGGGTACTTTACCATGTGGACAATGAAAAAAGAGCAGTGAGATTTCGTAAATGATCATAGTAGAGATTGGAAGCTGGTGGAGTGTACAAAGAACAGTGGGGATGTGTTCATGTTAAGGGTCCTGTGAGCACTGTTCTGAACATTCTGTCATTTTTGTGTGTCCTCCCCAAAAATCCCCAAAGTCATGTTTTACGTGTTTTCTCTTCTATTTTGATTATTTATCTTTGGTGATGAGCTCAGTCATTTAGGCAAGAGCACCTCTTTACCATCACCCTAATCTCTAGCTCTCTCCACAGATTCTCAATCAGATTCAAGTCAAGACTTTGGCTGCATCCACTCTAAGCCATTAACATTATGTTCAGTCAGAATAAAGCAAGTTGGCAAAACTAAAAGGAGATCTTATATCTGAATTTCCTTGTGGAATGAATAGTTTTGGGCTTAGCTGTGGGTAGATTATTTTTGTTTAACATCAAGTCTGATGGAAGTTAGCTTCATGATCATTCTAAGAGCAGTATGCTGTATATGAGTTGCTGTGAAATGGGAGGATTCCCAGTGGGATCATTATGATCTTCTGTAGGTCTTATACAGCAGACATAAGCTTTGTGATCCACTGTTACTATTTAACACATTTCTCCCAGGTTGTTTCATTTACCAAACCATTGAAAGCACACCGTGCACAGACTGGTTCAGCCTTGACTGCATTTTAAATGCGCCTGAGCCGTAATCAGAAATGTCTTTCCCAGAAACTGTAAACGTAAACACAAATATGTTTTCCAGGTCAACGTTTTTTCAAAATCCACCCTACTCATAGTTGATGTTTGAAGTCATCCTGACAGGGCCAGGGTGGGGAGAACTGTTACGTTGTAAAGGTGTTCGAGTAAATGATTATCGTGAACATATTTACACAGTAATCAGGGTTGTTAAATTTACAAGGATCCAGCGTGAATAATGCAAAGTAGTCAAAATCAGAACAGGCCTGTAGACAGGTGCTGCAAAGAAAAAGACCAACTTGGAAGTTGGTGTTCTATTTGTAATATTCTGAAGGATTTGCCATCTAACGTTAATCTTTCTGATCCTGTTTTTTCTTTGTACAATTGTTCTTAACCTCTTTATTTTTTTTTTCAAGTTAGAAGCATGTGAACATTTTTATCTGTTGTTTTTTTCATGTCATTACTCTTTTTTTTCTTCCATTTTTTATTTTCAAACCAATATTTATAGTAGATAATATAACTACATTCATTATTTATTCAATGAGAAAAAAAACACAACAACAAAACAAAACAACAACAACAAACAAACAAGCAAAAAACCCTAACCTCCCACCCCCATCTCAGCTCAAAGTCAACCTGATAGAAAAGAAAATAAAAAAACAGATGTAACATTAATCCAACAAAACCACCCATATTAGTGACCAAAACAAAATTCAGCAACAGGCACATTTAGTCAGGCAAGACCTTCAAGTTGGAAAAGTAGGAAAGAAAACATTGCCATTTTTGATAGAACTTCTGTGTGGTTCCTCAAAGGGTGTATTTGATTTTCTCAAGCTTCAAAAAAAAAATTACGTCTTTAACCCAGAGAGATGTCGAAAGACATTTTTCAGACTTCCAGTGTAGCAGTAAAGTACGTCGAGTCAATAAAAAGCAACCATTTCCATGTAGAACTTTGGCATCGAAGTAGGGCTGAGGATGCCGAATATGGCGACTAATGGACAAGGTTGCAAATTTACACTCAGGACAGAGGACATAATTGAGAAGTAATTGGACCAAAACCTATATAAGCTGGGACAGAGATAGAACGTGGCCGAGATTGCACGGGGAGCCTTTGCATTTATCACATATATCCACCATATCTGGATAAATCTGAGAAAGCCTTGATTTTGAAAAATTAATCCTATGTACAACTTTAAACTCAGACGAGCAAGACGAGCAAGAAGAGGAAGATCTGATTCTATCGATGGCGACATCCCAACTATCTTGAGTCAGCTGGATTCCCAACTGTTTTTCCCATGCATTTCTAATTTTGACACTAGGATCCACTCTCAGCTTTAAAATAAAACTAAGAATCTTAGAGATGGTACATTTCTGAAGTGGATCGAATGCAATAATCCTTTCCCAAGGCTGTTCAGGGGGTAAAGAAGGAAAATTAGGGAAACATTTAGAGGCGAAATTCCGAATTTGTAAGTATCGAAACAGATGTGTACCAGGTAAACTGTATTTAGAAGATAGATCATCAAAGCTATCAAATACTCCTGATGCATATAGATTTTTAATTTGCTTTAAACCTCTGACATACCAAACTGAAAATGTTTGGTATGACATTTTCAGACAAAGATGGAGGAAACAAATGGTTGCTGGTCAAAGGGCATAAGGATGAGGCAGCAGTGAACTTAAAGCGCCTTCTAAATTGAAACCACACTTTCAGCGTGTTAAGTACAACTTGATTATTAGTATATAGAGAAGGTTTTACAGGTAGTGAAGAAAAAATAAGGCCAGATAGTGAAGACCCATTACACAAAGATAGCTCCAGTTTACACCAAGGAGAGCTGGATGAATTCAGCCAATAATTAATTTTGTGTATGTGAGCAGCCCAGTAATATAATTGAAAATCGGGCAATGCAAGTCCACCACTGAGTTTACAGGTTTGCAATAATGCTTTACGTACTAGAGGAGATTTTCTTTTCCAAATAAAGCCATTGATCAATCTATTCAAGGAATCAAAAAAGGTTTTTGGCATAAAAAGAGGAATAGACTGAAATAAAAAAAGAAAATTGGATAGGACATTCATCTTGACAACATTAATCCTACCCAAAAGGGAGAGAGGAAGATTGCACCAGCACTGAAAATCCAACGCTGTTTTGGCAATGAGAGGTGAAAAGTTAGCTGAAGCAAGGCCAGATAAAGAACAAGTCACATTTATACCAAGATATTTAAATCCATTGGGACTGAGTTTGAAAGGGAAGTCAGAATATTGAAGACCACCAGGAGTAGTATTCATAGGGAAGCATTCACTCTTTTCCAAATTCAATTTGTAGCCTGAAAAGGAGCTAAAATTATTTAAGATACGCAAGATAGTAGGGACAGAGGTGGTGGGATTAGATACGTAAAGCAACAGATCATCAGCGTATAAGGACACTCGCCTTGGGAGATGTATACAGAAGTCGAATCCAAGAAACAAAAGTATCACCAAATCCAAATTTCTTCAAAACAGCGAACAGCTATTCCCACTCAACCCTATCAAATGCTCCCTTGACTTCGGGTTCATCCGGAGAATGCTTTGAATAGATAACATTAAAAAGAGTGTGCGTATTAAAAAATAATTGACGTCCCTTGACGTCATTTTGCTCCTCAGATATAACCAAAGGAAGAGCCTTCTCCAGCTGAGAAGCTATCACCTTGGCTAGTACCTTTACATCTACGTTCAACAGGGACAATGGTCTATAAGACCCACACAAAGTTGGGTCCTTGTCTTTTTTGTGAAGTAAAACAATAGTTGCCTGTGTTAATGTTGAAGGTAAAGTCTTACGTTCCAAAGATTCATTAAACATAGCCAATAATAGTGGTGCTAATTTTCCGATAAACTTTTTATAGAATTCGACGGGAAACCCATCAAGGCCAGGGGCTTTATTTGACTGCAGCACTTTTATTGAGTTTATTACTTCCACCAGGCCGAGTGATGAATCCATGGTCTTGGCAGTGCTCGCGTCGATAGAAAGACCTTGAAGAAATTCTCCCATTTGATTATTATCAGTGGGAAATTCTGATGAATATAAGGAAGAATAAAATGATTTAAAAGTGTCATTGAGTTCGATAGGGTCGTTTGTAATTACCCGTTGGGTATTTTGAATACTCTGTATCATACGAGAGTTGACCTGACGCCGTAACTGGTGTGCCAATAAACGGCCAGCTTTGTCGCCATGTTCATAATATGAACCTTTACTGCGTAACAGTAGACGTTCAGGTTCCTTGGTGGATATTAAATCGATTTCTGTTTGAACACCCATAAAATTAAAAAAAATTAAATAATTCTGGTGAAGGATCCATGGCATATCTTTGATCTAATTGAGCAATGGACGTAGCCAATTCAGTAAGCCTTGAGTTATGTCTTTTGTTAGACAGACGTCTTTGTCTAACAAAAGACATAACTCAAGGGTTAATTTCATACACGTGTATGAAATTATTTGTCCTCTGAGATAAGACTTAAGTGTTTCCCATAACAGTGAATATGAAGTGGAATCATTCTTGTTAAACATCAGAAATTCGTCAATTGCATTGGAAATAAAGTTGCAAAATTCTACATCTGCCAGTAAAAGAGAATTAAACCGCCACAGAGGTTGGCTACATTTGTAAGATGCCAACTGGATATTTAATAATAGTGGAGCATGGTCAGATATCATTATACTCAAATAATCAGAGAGAACTACACATGAATTGAGTGCCTGGTCAATAAAAAAATAATCAATTCTGGAATAAGAGTGATGAACCTTAGAAAAGAAAGAACATTTTTTTCTGGTATGGTTTCGACATTTCCATGGGTCAATAAGACCACTCTGCCTTGTGAAATCAGAGAATGCTTGGGCCATTGAAGTTTAGTTAAATTGCAGGGATTAGATCGGCCAAGCTCTGGATCAATGACACAATTCAAGTCACCCCCTAAAATTAGCAAATGAGAATCCAAAAACAGGAGTATGAACATATGTTTTGATGCACAAATGTGAATAATTCCCATTATTCTACTAATTATGTAAAGAAAGAAGATTATATTTTGTATTCTTTTATTCCCAGATGCCTAAAAGGTCACATCTGGATAGTTTTAATTGTTCTATATATCATGAGAACAAACTGAGTTTCTTCAGCTACATTCACGCGCCAGCCCCATTTGATCTGCTTTAATCAAACTCCAGTTTGTTTGCCTAGAAAGTCTGGTTCTTTTGGGGAAATGTTATTGTAAAACTGAACTCTGATTTGGATTAAAAAGCAAACTCCGCCTATGAACCTAGGTTTCATTCATTTGAAGTGAACTCTGGTGTGAATATGTGAATGCCAAACAGACCAGAGACTACTCCAGAAATAGGAACCAGATAACAACACAGGGCATTCTAATCTATTGCTAGCAGGAGAAATAGTTTGTGGTTTTCAGCTAAAGACAAATCCTACAACCACTGAAATATGACGCCACTCCATTTTTGTGCGCATTTTGAAAAGTAGGAAGTTTTGTTCAGTATTTTTAGAGATTTTCATGTCAATTCAGTGGTTCTTAGTGCAACGCCAATACAGACGAGGAGGGGAAACAGATTTTTCAAAAACTTTTGGCTCATTTGACAGTGCAGTGTAAAAGTGAACCGCAGCAGCTGAAATGTAACAACTGCTGCAATTTTGGTCCCCAATTGAACCGAGTCTACAGTACCGTCAGGTGTGAAAACAACCTTAAAATGTGGCCATATGGTTAGGCCTGGTTAAAGTCAGGTTTCTTAAACTTCAATTCTCACTGGCTAGTGTTCTTCAGCTTGTAAATGCATCTCTGCTTTAACAGAAAAGGCTTATATAATAGGGTCATTACCAGACCTCTGTAGAACAAGCTGGAAACAGAAAGTGAAACAAGATTGGAATTTGACACACTTGGCTTAGGTGAATAAATGGGTTTTTATTGAAACATTGCTGTTTGTTTGAGGTGAACATAACCTGTCAGAAAAACTGAGAAGCTGTTGATCTGATGTTTCAGGTATCAGTTTGGGTGTTGTGGTGAGGGAGTATGCGTCCCTTTCCCATCTCCACAAGCAGTATTTCGGCTTCCCAGGAGAGATCCTGATGCGAATGCTGAAACTGGTCATCCTTCCACTCATCATTTCAAGTATGATCACAGGTAAACTGACAGAGTGACTGCTTTATGAATAGTGAATGTCTTGGTTTTACTGATTTTTCCTGTTATAAATAAAGACTTTAAAAAGTCAACTTGTTTGTTTTTAGAAGAAACTAAAAGCTACTTTTAACATATACTGTGAACATAATACATGCTGGACATTTCTATTTATAAATAGGAGACAGACTTGCTGTCTTTTTTGCTTGTGCACCACAGTTATCACAGTCTCATTTAGCACTCAGATGGTGAAGGTAGGGTAAACATGTTATGCTGCTTGCAAATTAATTGACTGTTTATTTCTATCATTCTTTAGTAAATATCAATTGAGGTAGTTATCTTCACACCGACAGAGAAAGGAGCTAGAATCAGCACACAGCTTCAGGTATTAAAGCTAGAAACCAGTGATCAGAGGCCTGGAATCTGAGTGTGCTACATAACACAATTACAAATTCAGTCTTCTACCATTTCCAGGATTAAAGGACTATTGTCCCAGCAAGATCTAGAAACACTCATCCATACATTTATCTTTAGTCACGTTGATTACTCCAACAGTGAGGTCCGGTCTACCTAAAAAAAAAATTAAAAAAATAAAAAAACTTCAGCAGCAGCTGATCCTGGTTCTCACTAAAACCAGGAAGATTGAGCACATAACCCAGTTCTAAAGTCCTTCCAAGAATGTCTGATTGATTAGTAAAGGTGTGACCCTATTAGAAGGCAAGGTAAGGTATTTCACATGCTGCTCCATTTAAGGCAAGGCAATCAGCCCATCAAAGAAAAGACAGAAACAACTGTAGAAAAACATAAAAGCATTCATAAAACAAACAAATGTAAACATGTATCTGAGTAGGTATAATAGAAACAAATGTTTGATTGAATGTTGAACAAAAGACATGGGGCCTCAGGTATAAAGAGTGTGTAGACAAAAAAATGTGCGATGTCTTTTTTACGCACAAGTCGCATGCACAATAATGAACTTAATAATGAACATTTTCATGCTAGTTTTTCCCTAGCATGAAAATGTGCAGTAGCTACGCAAACCTTTTCTGTAAATATAAAACTACAAAGCATCAAAACTCAGCTAAATACACTGAAATCTGACTACATTCAGTGTTAATTTGACCAGTGGTCCTCAACCCCTAGGACCCCAAGCCCTGGGTCTGTGATCCGCGCAAGAAATAATCAAACATAACATAATAATCAAACATTTTTAAGGTTTGAGTCTGGAGGATCTTGTATTTTGAAAATCTTTTAACCGGATTCTCTCTGTTACGTCCTGAACACCAACATTGATCCACAAGCAACAAAATGATCAGGAACAGATCAGATTATTTGGAAATTTTCTTTGTGAAGGAAAAGGCCCAGAGAAGAGACATAGACAGAATGGATTTATCCCTGTACGGTATTCCCACAGTCCAAGCTGCTCTGCATGACATGGTGACCGGCTCGTTAATGAGGCAATGAAGCTTCAAACTGCTTTGTCACATAGAGACCAAGCAGGCAGTGCATTAGCAACACTTCGGGTGTCATTATCTCCTAGAAGGGACCACCTCGTGGCAGAGAAACGAGCTCAGGGCTCCATTATTATTATCGTGAGTTAAAATTTTCACAAAAGTAAAATGTTTTTTTTTTTTTTTGTGGCGCATCTGTATCTTGTTTTGAAGGGATATATAAACGTTACCATAGCGACCAGAGTCAGAGAGTATTAGGGCAGTGGTCGAGACGAGATGAGAGGAGAAGAGCTTGTGACCTGACAGGATGACAAGAACCGATAAAAGTCCATCAGGTCCGGTTGGTTAATGTTTCCAGCAACATGGCAGGAGCAACAAGAACCAATTCCAGTCAAGAACATCCCGATTCCAGAAGAAAATCCAATAAAATCCCCAACATATCATACGTGAAGTTAGAATAATCAAACACGATGGCGACATAGAAGCAGTAGTGATAGTTTGTGGATCATTTTAAGGGACAAAAGACGTAACAAAAAGAAAAGCGTTTGATAAAAGGGAGCAGCTGCTCTATTTGCTGCACTATGATTTGGAGGTGAATTATGTTTTTTCGTAGTTAACATTTTTAATTGAATAATCATAACCTGGTCTAGAGCCAGCCTCTAAAAAAAAACAGTAAAGAACATTATATTGATTTTTTTTAACCAGCTATAAGGGGCCAGACTTGTATCATCGGGACCTGTATTCAAATGGCAACTTGTACTGCAAAATATTGTGTTTAGCAATTTTTTTGTAATGGGCAATGCAGTACTTAATTTAGAATTATTTTTTATGATATTTATGAATAGAAATTGTGTATAGCATTGGCTTTATTTATTTGAATATTATTTTGTAGTTGTTCAGTACAAAATGTTGTATGTATGCAAAATAGTTGGATAAATAATGGGTTTGTCTGTTCCCGGTCCTTAGCCTTGCTAATTACTCTTTTTGAAGTTTGATTAGTGACTGTTGTGTTGTTTTGTAATTAATTACCCAAACCTCCCTGGAGTCACTTAAATAAGGTAAAACTGACTTAATATATTTATTATATGTAATATAATAAATATCACATATAATATTTATTATATATGGTTTTGCACATTCTGCACTGTGCAAAAAACAGTGCAAAAAACAGTGCACAATGTTAAGGTCAGGATGTTTCTGTGTCTGTGAACAGAAAGCTGTGCTCAGATTCACCACAGGGGACCTTGTAATCAGTGTGTTTTATGGGGTACACTTAAAAAAGAATTATACAAAAAGCACAGGAATATATGATTATATATAATAAATATATTAGGTCAGTGAAAGAGCAACTTGTATCTGAAATAGTAAAACCATAACTCATAATTTCCACTTTTCCATAGATGGACAAACGTTCTTGTTTCAAGAAAAAGCCCAACAGCCCAATAATGCTCAGATAAAAATTATGGTAATGCAAATTCTAAGTATGATTTTCAAATAAAGTTCAGGTTAATGACTAGTAAGAACTAGTCATTAATCCGACCTTCGACCTTGATAATAAACTGGTTTAAGGTTTATTAAATCCATGAATTAAGTAAAATGCTTTTTGTTTTGAGTAGATTGTATTTTCATCTCCAGGGGATCAGACCCCACAAGTACTGTGTCACTCCACAGCTGCTTGTCTATCATTAATGTTATAATGTAGTCTGATTCTGTTTCATACATATACAGCTCTGGAAAAAATGATCAGTCCTCTGATTTTACTCTTTATAGGTACATGTTTAAATAAAATGAAGATTGTTGAACTCCTGATAACATGTCTCTGAAGTTCCAAGCAAAAACTTACTATTTATTTTCAGAAAATGAGGAAAGGTCAAAATAATAAAAAAGATGCAGTTCTTTCAGTCCTTGAATAATGCAAAGAAATCAAGTTTATATTCATTTAGAAACAACAAAATTAATGTTTTAACTCAGGAAGAGTTCAGAAATCAATATTTGGTGGAGGTTTTCAAGGGTTCAGTGCAGTGATCTCTTAATTTCTTCCAGACCTCTATGTAGTTGTTAACCGTTTTAGTTGGACAAAACTACTTAATTTCTTATGTGAATGTATGTAATTAAGCAGTGATGTTTAGAAAAATGCACCAAAAAATAACTTCTCTTGGTCCTTAGCCCTGCTTTTTTTTATTTGGATTTTTTTTTTTTATTCCTTATTTTTATTCTTGTGAGGTGACCTTTCAGCACCATTTAAGTAAAATATGTGGTTATCATTATTATACATGCTTATATTGCTACACACAAGGATGTTGCCATGGTTATTAGTTCACATGGTGGCAGACTTCCGGATATTTGTACTAATTTATATATGTAATTATGAGTGGCGACAGGGATAACCAGCAGCTGTTCCCTCAAATTGGGATTTATAAAAGAAAGGTGCGCAGCCACGTGCGTGTGCACGACTTTATACATCTGGATTTTTTAGTGCGCACTTTTCTAAATTTGTCCGTACACCAAGTTTTAGTGTAAAATCTGCACACTCTTTTATGCATGAGGCCCCATAAAAGAGTGCCACCACGTGAAACAATAACCATGCCAAAGGCCTTTTCTTGTGATCATATAAGTATTAATATTAATAATAACTATATATTTTATTTAAAAGGTGCTTTCAGGGCACAAAAGTTTTAAAGAAAAAATATCTAAAAAGTTTTTTTTAGATGTATTTAAAGATTTAAAGATGACAGCATGTCACAGAGTACTTAGAGTGGGGAAAGCGGACGTTTATTCTAAATAGGGAAATCATGTGCATAAGTTAAACATTTACATAATAGAGATGCTTTCTGTCCATAGAGGTGCATTCACAAAGCAGGCATTGCTCAACTGAAGGATGACTGTATTTGTGCCGGTAATGGACGACTCCATTTTAAAGTTTTGCTCAGAGCTCCAAGATGATCAGTCTGGGCGATTTAAATGCTAATAAATCATCAAATTTTCCAACAGATCAATGTGTTCTCTGGGAACGCAATTTCTCTGGGAACGCAGAACCGGGTTGCTGGGGCAGAGAGGGGTGGGAGGTCTAAAATCCTATTTAGAGTTTTCCAGACAATAGTGGAACACACACAAACACACACAAATGACTAAAACATGTTTGTATTGTTGTAACAATTAAACAATCTCCCCTTCAGTTCAACCTGATAATTGGAGATACATTGTTGTTATAAAATAACTTGCAATTAATTATTGGCAAAGCCCAATGTAATTTTCACAGGTGGCGGAGCGTTGTTGTTAGCAGCTGCTGAAAGTAGCTAAAAAAGTTACTTTTAATGTAAATTTGTTACTTTCTACATCAAGTAATCCGTTACTTTTTCAAGGAGTAATCAGTAATCCGATTAGTTACTTTTTCAAAGTAACTATGCCATCACTGGTAGTCATAAAGGGATGGACATGGTCAGCAAAAATGCTCAGGTAGGCTGTGGCGTTGACACGATGCTCAATTTATACTAATGGGCTCAAAGTGTGCTAGGAAAATATCAACCATTACACCACCACCAGCCTGAATTGTTGCTTTCATGTTGTTGACACCAAATTCGGACCTTACCATATGAATGTTGCAGCAGAAATCAAGACTCATCAGACCAGGCAACGTTTTTCCAATCTTCTATTGCCCACTTTTGGTGAGCCTGTGTGAATTATAGCCTCAGTTTTTGGTTCTTAGCTGACAGGAGTGGCACCCGGTGTGGTCTTCTGCTGCTGTAGCCCATCCACCTCAAGGTTCAACGTATTGTGCGTTCACAGATGTTGTTCTGCATACCTCGGTTGTCACAAGTGACCGTTGAGTAATGGTTACCATTCTATCAACTCGAACCAGTCTGGCCATTCTCCTCTGACATTAACAAGGCATTTGCGCCCACAGAACTGCCGTTCTTTGGGCGAGATATTTTCTCTTTTTTGGACCATACTCTGTAAACCCTAGAGATTGTTGTGCGTGAAAATCCCAGTAGATCAGCAGTTTTTGAATTACTCAGACCAGCCTGGCATCACTGCAGTCTTGGCCATGTCTACATGCCCAAATGCATTGAGTTGCTGCCATGTGATTGGCTCATTCAAAATCTGCATTAATGAGCAGTTGGACAGATGTACCTAATAAAGTGGCCGGTGAGTATATGTCTTTATGTTTGATGATGGGCTTGTTGTTAACAGGTGTTGCAGCCCTTGACTCGGAGGTGTCAGGAAAGATAGGTCTCAGGGCTGTTATCTATTACTTCTCAACAACTATCATTGCAGTTATTCTCGGTGAGTTACTATCTTCTTTCTCTAACAGGGACCAGTTTAAGAGTCTGATTAGTTAACCATACATAAGTAAACCAAACTGTTAGAGTATTAACATAACAATTTCAAGCAAAAATATTTTAGATTTGGTTAAAGTATTTTCCCAACCAATTTTCACCTCATAGTTTGTAGTTTTAAAACAGTATTATCCGAATAGGAATGAGTGGTGATCCCTGAGTTTTCACACCTTAACTGTTTTCTTGCCACCAAAAATATTTTTTACAACCAAATAGGTCTTTTATAATTATGACAAATAGTGTGGAAGTGGAGCACTGTATACTCTGCACCTCATGAAGCCAGAGAAAAGTCTGCTCAACCCAGAACTTTATCTTGGATCTCATTAGAATGACTATAAAGTGTTGAAAATGTAGGTGTTTTTTTATGCATACAAATGTAACTTTTCAATGCGCCAGTTTACATTGATATCAATACTCGGCTCATGTCTACTGTCGAGTTTGTACTGTTGCCTTGGTAGTCAATCTGTATCCTTGGCAAATAATGCTCTAAGAAAAGGTATAACCGGCACCCCAATAATATTCAAAGTTTTTAATAAAGGCCAAAATAATTTTTTTTCCCCTTATTAAAATGTATTTATATTTTTGTAGTTCTTCAGTACCAGGCACCCATGTACTCTTTGGAGTTGTGCACACTATTTTACTTCTCTTGTTAAATAATGACCTCACTCTTTGAAGGAATTATTTTAGTGATGACGATCAAACCGGGTGTGTCTCAAGAAGCTGAGAACATTGACAGAGCAGGGACCACCCCCAATGTTACTACTGTTGATACACTGCTGGATCTCCTGAGGTGAGTTTCTTGATATGTGTAACTATCAATGTTTTGTGGCCCTTCCTAAACTCCCAGTTGGTCAGGGCAGATGGACGCTCACACTAAGTCAGGTTATAGTTCTTTGTGAGGTTTCTCCTTGTTGGCAACATGCTTGCCTTTTTTTTTTTTTTTTTACATGAACTTATATGCATGCGTATAAATAGAGGTGACTCTGCAAGCTAAAAAAGTAGTTGCGCTAACCCTAAAGTTCTAATCATAATATTAGTTCTGCTAACACTAAAGCACAACAGCAAAAGTTTTATGAGAAAACAACAAGCTCTTCATGAAAATCCCGCAAAGACGACTTTGGGGGTCTCAGAAATGTTGCAGTAATCAACATGATGCTGAAGCAATTTATCTGTTTCTGGTACATTTTCTCTTGACAGAAACATGTTTCCAGAAAACCTGGTGCAGGCTTGTTTTCAGCAGGTCAGCCACTTTTTACATTCATTCCACACATTTCCACAGATGTTACAAACCATTTAAAATCTTTTCCGTCATCATGCTATAGTGAGAAGGCTGGCAATGAACCCGTAAGAATCTGCTATTAATATGTTTTATATTCCATAATTTTACTGTAGTACAAAACAAAGCGGAAAGAGCTGGAGCCAGTGAAAGTGTTGACCAACACCACCACGATTGCACCTCTTGCTACTACAGTCATGACAGTCGTAGAGGTAGGTGAGCCCTCTGAGTTTACTCACAGTGTCTGATGGGAAAACCCAGGAGGGATTTGATCTTTGTGTTATGGGGGGTTTGTCATTCCAGAACATCACTAGGGAGTATAAAATTGTTGGAGCGTATTCAGATGGAATAAACGTACTGGGCCTCATCGTGTTCTGTGTGGCTTTTGGACTTGTTATTGGAAAGATGGGAGACAAAGGCCGAATACTCCTGGAATTCTTCGATGCCCTGAATGAAGCCACCATGAAACTAGTGCAGATAATTATGTGGTATGTGTTCATGATTAATTTACTCTTTTTGTTTTGTTTTTTTAAGAGACCCTTACAAATTAAGCAGACTCCCACTGGTTTGGTGGGTTTAACAGTGTTACTCTGGGATTTTTAAGTTTGGTTTTGCTTTTTCATCTAATTTATTATTATGTTTTAGATCACTTTTGGGTTGCCCTTCATGGTTGTTTTAGTTTTATCTTAGAGGTTATATATTATGGTTAGAATTGTTCTGTTATTGCTTTCCTTATTTCAGCCTCCATGTAGTGTTTCTAGTAATATTTCTTTGTTATTTCATCATCCTAGATTCAGTTATTCTTACATGTCTGGTTCGATGTATACATTTTTTCAGTGGTTCCAGTGAAGTTTTTCTAGCTCCTCCCGTAGTGTTTCTAGTTTCTTATTTTGTCAATATAGGTTTAGTTAGTCTTTTGGTCTGAATTTATATCCATCTTTCTTTAGCGATTCTAGTTACGTTATTTCTTTATTTAGTCCTTCTTGTTACTCCAGCCCTATGTTCCTTAGTTCTTAATGCTAGATCAACCTTGTTAGACCTAAGCTGCAAAGGCCTATTGTAATCACAAGATTTCTTAGTTATTAGGCCTGAGCAGCTCAGCACTGCAAAGGCCTATTGCAATCAGTGTTTTTTTTATTTTTCTTGATGCAAATGAATTGGCTTTTTGGGTACTTTATCATATTAAAAAAACTCACTAAACTTGGCGGACATGTCAGGACTGCGAAAAATGTATGTATTTTAAAAAAATTGCACTAGAAACGGCTCAACATAGCCAAATGGAAACTCTTCATATTCATCGTAGAGACATGAAATTTGATACACTTACAGAGCTCCCCAAGATGCACAGAAAATTCTATTAATGTCATAGTGCAAGTCAAACATGAAGTCAGCCATTTTGGATTGAAGTTTGGATTTCGACTTCTTAGAGCCTTTGCATATGATCAGACTCCTTCTAACGAATTCGATTGATCGGCTTCAAACTTGGTCAGATTGTTCATAAGGCATAGCTGATTAAAAGTTACTAAAATGGTGAGTTTTTGTGCATGCTGAAGGTGTGTTACCAAGGGTCATAGTTTACTTATTCGCCATGAAACACAAAACTCTTATACCTCCTACACAAAAACTCATAGACATAGAAATAATGAGACATAGAAAGTCTGATGCAGCTGTGATCTTGCATGTCGAAATTATTGCACCTTGATGTTTCATGGCGAATAGTTTAGCTTTGACACTGAGCCACACCTGCATACTTTGAGGTACGAGATGTGGTTTTGAAGTCTGTATCTTAAAAGCTGGACGAGTTCGATCAGATACGACGTCTATAAAAATGACATGATGGCAGCTTCGATCCAAAAAGGCTGACTTCCTGTTGGGTTTGAACCAAGGCCCCAAGAGACTTTTTTGTATGTCCTAACAAGATATATATGTGTACGAAGTTTCATTCTGGGTTAAAGGATGGCTTGGGGCTGAACATTTAAAGTATTCTTGGGGGCGCTGTAGAGAAATTAGGCCACACCCACCAACAATTGTGGATTCCTGTTGGGGGGTGGATAAGGATCCATCCCAGTGAGTTTGGTGCAGCTCGACTCGAAACTGTGGAATTCAGAGCCAAACAAACTCTGAACTCCACAGTTACAGGTCACTTTGCCACACCCACTTACTCCATCAAAACTAGTCAGGGTTAGAATCCACATCACACCAACATGTCTTCTGTCTCTGTTTCAAAGGGGTCAGATAGAGACCATTTAGAGTAAAACATGACACTTTCTGTTCTCAGGGGGCGTGACTTATGTGATGTCATCATTTGACCATTGGGTATTGTGGGGCACCTGATGATGATTAACCCTTGTGTGTGCAAGATTGAAGTGATACAGGGACTTCTGGGTGAGCAAGCAAGACAGCGACAGATTAACCAGGTGGCTCCCCGACATATTTTTAGAAAACACAGGTTTGAGGCAAGCGCGGAATATAAAATAAACTTGAAAATGAATCGAAATGCCCAAACCTAAACCAAAGAGCACTCTGTTGTCTCGGCAATCAATGTTGAGAGAAGAAGATACGAACGAAGACAATATGGCTAACCGCTCGGGCTGGGAAGCGTCATTACCGGCTAACGATGTAGCTAACGAGACAGTTAATCTACAAACTATTCTCGAAGAGTTAAGAGAATCAAGTAGAGAAAATGGGGAGGGCTTCCAAGAGGTTAAAGAGGAGATAAAGAAGACTGGACGTGGCAGAAACATGCATCTTGGAAGTGGAAAACAGGATTTAGCAGCTCGAAGAAGTAGCTATGAAGCTAAGTAAAGTGCAGGACGAGTTCGAAGCCAATCTAGTGGAGCTCAAGGGGAGATCGTAACAGGAAAACTTGAGGCTCCACGGCATTGTGGAGAGCTCTGAGGATGGCTCACCATCTATCCCAGCCTTCATAGAGAATCTACTACATCGAGCTTAGCTTCGACCTGAGCATTAAGAGAGCTCACAGGTCTCTGGGTCCCAGAGCTCCACCAGAGGCCCCCCCTTTATTCCTTCCAGGACGCACTGCAGGGAAAATAAACATTTAATCATGAATACTAATTATGTATACACTTAGTCATTTTGATAACACGCTAATATAAACACCTAGAGCCTGTTTTGCCTTCATTATGAGCCTTATATAAGGCTTTTACTTTTTTTTCGGCTCCAAACAGATTTGTTTTTCGTTTTTTGGGTCCAATACGGCTCTTTCAACATGTTGGGTTGCCGACCTCTGTCCTAGGGATTTCAAACTATCAGCTTCATTCTTGGTCAGATTGCAGTTAAGGCATGGGGCTTTAAAAGTTATCTATAAAATTGACTTTTTGTATATATTCAGGGGGTGTGGCAGAGCGGCATACTTGGCGTACTCACCAAAACAAACTGAACGCTAGTGTGACCGGTGGACTTCTGCGTTGTGTGTGTGGTGATCGGATGAACCACAAAACATCAAGTCTGGGTTTGGAGGCAGTCTCCGTTTATTGATCTGTCAATTGGGAGATATTAGCATTAGCACATAGCATGTGCTCCAGTTCTCCAGCCCAATCTATACAACATAACAATGTTATAACTCAAATGAAAATATTCAAACACATATAATTAGCACAGATGGAAAAATAAACATTTGAAGAATATGAATGAAAGGGTTCCAATGGACCACAAAACTTGCCTCTCCCCAGTGGAACGAATGACAAAAGGGAAGAGGAAATGAATAACTTAACATTTATAACAGTCCTGGAGGACCCTGAACAAGAGAAGAAGAAAGTAAGGCGGAGCTGGAGGACCAAACCCCCCATAACAGAGACAGAAGAACACAAGAACAGCCAGATCAAAACTGACAATTACATTAAAGAAAACATTTTTGTGTAAATATATAACTATTAATATAGACCCAGTTACACTATACATTTCACATAGAACACTCAGTTGGTACCAACACTTGACATGAGTGATCCTGGTAGGATGCCTGACAATGCTATGTTGCCATAGTCTGACGTCCTCTAAGCCTCGCCCCCTCAGAACAGGAAGTGACTTTTTACTTGAAAAGCTCAAACTCTGGCTCTCTTCCCCTAATCCAGATGGTCTTGTGTCAGATGACAGATAACAAATTGGCCTCACTTGCTTTAAAACACCAAGAGGGTTCAGTGGAGGCTGTGGCTGTCGCCGCGGTGTAGTGGCAGGTCACGCCGCGGCCATACATTTGGCTTTAGATTCCACATGTTTTGACTGAGCTGGGCCAAACTCACTGTGATCAATCCTTGTCCAACCCCTGACAGGAATGCAGTCCAGTTTTTGGTGGATGTGGCCTAATTCCTCTACAGTGCCCCCTAGAATATTTAAAAAAGAAATCAACCCCACACCATGCTTTAACCCAGAATCTATTTGTATTTTTGTTTAATTTACTAGTGTTTATGTATAAATATATATATATTTATTTATCATTATCAGTATTATTATTTTTCCGTTCTTTATTTCTTTCTTCTTCCTTTGGATTGTGTGTGGATGTGTGTGTGTGTGTGTGTATATCATGTTGCTAGATGTTATTGGAGAGATTGTATCTCTGCTGGCTGTTTGTCTTGCATTCACACCTAGATAGGGGCGTGTTTGGGGTGGGTATTGGGTTTTGGGAGAAATCAGCTTGAACTTCTCTCTCTTTCTCGATAACAACTGTGTTTTCATTGTACTGATGATTGATGTATGTCAAGGTGTAAAATACAATAAATAAAGTTGAAAACAAAAGCATTTAATTCTAGTGAGCAATTAAAAGATGACTAAACTAAAACATATTTCCTGCATATTGGTTTATCATGGTATTAAGGCTGTCTGTGGCTTCTATAGTGAAATATCAGGCGCACCACTGATTTTTGTATATGTATATTTTCCCTGTTCTTATGTTTCTTATGTGTACTTTTCAGCTACATGCCGTTTGGTATCCTGTTCCTTATTGCTGCAAAGATCATTGAGGTGGAAGACTGGGAGATCTTTAGGAAGATGGGTCTTTATATGGTGACTGTGCTGAGTGGGTAAGCTGCCTCATTACTCTGAATCTGCCTGTTCCAGACACCAGGATTTATGGCTGACATTTGGGTCAACTCTCCCTTCAGTGATGGAGTAAAAGCTGAGCTCTTGGTGGGCATTGATAAGGGCCGAGGACATTTAAAACTGCTCAACCTGCAGATGCAGTAATGAACGCTTCTCAGTCTAAGTGACACAGTTATAGTGCACGGTAAATCTTCTCTTGTTAGGTCAGAGGGTGAGTCAAAGGTTCCAAACACTTCAGGCTTCAATATAGTGCTCACACCACTGTGTTGTGTTGCACAACACAACACTACACAATATTACACAGTTGTTAATGCCATGCTGCCTTACTAAGGCAAAAATGCATTCAATTAATTATGTTCACTTACCTTGAACAACATTAGATAATTGATTTAATCATTACAGTCTGGGATATTTAATCATTTTTCAAAAGCACAAGCAAAAACTGCTGTGTCGAGATCAGGGTGACAGTGTCCAACAACTTACGCATCCCTCCTGGTATCAGACGGCTGAATTATCTCCTCACATCAGGATTTCTCCTGGGAAGCTGAAATACTACATGTGGACGTGGGAGAGCATCTCAAACATCAACTACTTAGTTTCTCTGGCAGTTAATGGTCCCTTGAAACAATCTGCTATGTCAATATAAAAACACATTTATTCACCTAAAAAAGTGTCTCATATTTCTGTCCTCAGAGCCTGCTATCCTGCTGTCCTCAGTCAATTACTTTCTGATCTTTCAGTCAAGATCTGAAACTTTTAGATATATCTCTGCATGAGCACATCTGGTTCCAATAAGCTCATCACCAATGGTCACTGAGTGGGACCACTGGAGAGGTGTTTCCATTAAATAAGAAATAAAATTTAAATTACACATGAAGAAGCTTGATCATCTCCTCATAATTCAGCTATGGTTCTAGCTCTCATCATCTATCAACCAATTAGAGGAGATGTTGGGGTCTTATTAAGGAGATAGAGCATCAAGTCCCATCTACATCGGGAGCAGCTAGTATGCTGTGTTTTGTGGAAATCATAGTCTCTGGTTTTACAGAAGAGTTATGGATTCAACATGTTCAAATGATGCACTACTCTCTATGAGGTGTGTGACGTGAGAGCTCTGTTGGAGCCAGCTGCACACTGTCTGACAAAACAAAAACAAACTCTCATCCTCCTACCATTTCCTGTTGTCTTTATGGTTTTCACCTGTGGTAACAGCCACTTGTCGATCACTTGATTTTGTGATGCCAAAAAAGTGTTTCCATTTTAATTTTGCAAAATATATCTATTTTGATATATACGGCTGAAAAACTACCTCATCCTAGTTCAAAAATATTCCTAGAAAAATTAGATTTCTTTTTGAAATTGCATTTTCCATTGAGCAAATTTATTTTACTAATTTTAATTTGACCAATTTCCTGGTGAATGGAAACACACCTAGGAATATACTTGTTAAACAATCCTGTGCACATGCACTCACACCTAAGGGCAATTTTAGAGATCACTTTATCTAGCAGTCATGTTTTTGACTAGTGATGGGAAGCCAGAGTAACCTCATGGAGATCCTCTATTCTAAAAATATAGAGCAAACTAAAAAGTGGTGTTGGATTATTAAACATAGAGCAAAATACAGCAAAGATAGTTTTGGGAAAATTTAAAAAGCCTCAGGAACCTAGAGCTACATTACTTAAAATCATTCTAAAACATCAAGAGGAAGTAAGACTGCATCAACTTAGTGTAAATAAGATGAGGGATGACTTAAGACATTCATCTGCTTTGTTCTACAGATTAGCTATCCACGCCACCATCTGTCTGCCTCTCATTTTCTTCATCATTGTGAGGAAGAATCCCTACACATTCACCCTAGGAATGGCTCAGGCCTTGGTGACAGCCCTTATGATTTCTTCCAGGTCAGTAAACCTTTTTTCTTTTGCATTTCACTTATTAAGATCCTATCTGCCCATCTTTAAGGGAAGTCAATTCCTCACAATGTGTTTCAGCTCTGCTACGCTACCTGTAACCTTCCGCTGTGCTGAGGAGAACAACCACATTGACAAGAGGATAACTCGCTTCGTGCTCCCAGTGGGTGCCACCATTAACATGGACGGCACAGCACTCTATGAGGCAGTGGCTGCCATTTTCATCGCCCAGCTTAATGACTACCCTCTGGATGTGGGCCAGATTGTCACTATCAGGTCGGTCATTTGTTTTTAGTATAGGTGAAGTATTTGAGAAAAAAATGTCATGAAAGGGAAAAAAACTCAAGTAATCATTTGGGCCAAAGAGTTCTAGAGCTTAGATAAGTAGAGGTGCACCGATTGCAGTTTTCTGGCCGACCATCGATCACTAAGTTGGCCAAATTCGGGCTACTACTGTTAACATGCGGACGGGTCTGTCAGCTAGCCTCTCTCACAGCAGAGCAGAACTGGACAGTGCCTGTTTTTCAGTTCTTTGTGGAGGAAGATGTGTGGAAAAGATTGATTTCACATGTAAGTATCGGCTGATTACGGTCTCCCAAAACTAAGAAAATTAGAGCTGATTTATAGGTATACCCCTGATGATTAGTTGTCACAGTGTTTTCAGGTGTTAGCACAAGTTGTGCTTTATTTCTCTTCTTTCAGCATAACAGCAACAGTTGCCAGTATTGGAGCAGCAGGAGTCCCCAATGCTGGACTTGTCACCATGGTGATTGTATTGACGGCTGTCGGACTACCTGCCAGTGATGTTACACTGATAGTTGCTGTGGACTGGCTTCTGTAAGCGTTTTTTCTGTTGTCATCCCATATAATTAAATCAAGTCAATTTATTTTCACTATATTGTGTTCTGTTAATCCTACAACAAACAAGGCATTCTTTGGGATCTGCATCAGACCGGTGTAAAAAATCAGTCTGTAAATAGCTAGGACAGAACATGAACAGACACAAGCACAAATAAAGTTCAAGTATGCACAATTAAATGGAATCTTAATATTTTAACATCTTGAGAAAGTTGTGTTTGATGTTTCTGCCAAAGGCCTTTTTGAGGACCCTCACTGGACAACAACTAACTCACATTTTGTCCAGTGAAAACTAAAGTTTCAGTTTCAGAAGTGAAGGCTCACAGTAGAACTGTAAACCTAATGGGTTTGTGAAACCAGGGAGGACGATTGTTAAAGAACCTACTGTAATGTATCTGAGAGACTCACTGATCTATGACAGAACATGCAGCAAGTTAGTGACAGGACAGGCCACAACCTGATAACAGATATTCTCATATGTCCATGTTCATAACTAGGTTTGCCCTGTTGTGAACGCTGGCCAGTTGTGAAAGAGAATTCTAACCAAAATTAGCAGCAACACATTTCATACTCAAAGTTCACAAGGCAGAGTAGTCCCAGTAGGTTGGGCATTCCAACTACTTCTCCTTAAAGCTTATGAGTCCTTAGAGCTGGCTTCCTTCATGAACACACCTGAATCAAATGGAAGTCATATTAACAGATCTCTGTGGACTGAATGCTGTGGTGGGTACCACTAACTACAAAAATAATTGTGCTAAACCTAAAGCAATAATCATAAATATTTGTTCTAACACAAAAGTTAGAACCAATATAGTGATTAGTGGAAGTTATAGTGCTAAAACACTAACTTTCAGTCAGATTTTCTCTGAAAGACTACAACCCTCAAGAACCAATTTAATTTTGATATTATCATTTATATCTTCTATTATGTCCTTAAATTTTATATTTATGTTTATATGCATTTTGTACAGTCCACATATTATTTTGTTCCTATAGGCTATGTTCCTTGTTTGAAATCACTTTATTGATGAAAAAAAGAGAATTCATAAGCAAGCATGTAAAACCAAAAATACCTGGAGACTAACTGGATCTGGTGTGTTTCAGGGACCGCTTCCGTACAATGATCAATGTTCTGGGTGATGCCTATGGAGCCGGGATAGTTCAGAAACTATCCAAGAGGGAGTTGGAGAGGATGGATCTGATTTCAGACGTGGATGTCGCTAACCCGTTCGCCCTGGAAACAACTCTAGATGACGAGGAATGTGAGAAAAAATCTTACGTCAATGGAGGCTTCACTGTCGATAAGACGGATGCAATTTCCTTCACAGAAACCTCCCAGTTTTAGCTTGGATCACAGGAGAGAGAAATGCCACACATACAGGAAGGATTCAACCAGCCCATCTGAGTTCAAGCATCAGCAACAGCTGCCTTCATTAAGCTTAGATGAACATGATCACCTGCTATTTTGAATATTGAAAACCACTAGATTCAAGTGCTTCCTTATTAATCTAAAGCTGTGCCAAGATTTTGAAAAGCCCCATTTAGATAGATAAGGCTGAAAAGCTTCTTGCAAAGAGCACTTTATCAATATGTCCTCCTGATGATATATCCCTTAAGGAGGGATGTGGTGTTTGTGAGTCTGTAATAAAAAAAAATGCATTGTTTACTCCTTGACGAGGCAAGAAGACTCTAAATATCCCATAATGCACTGCTTGTGTAATAATTAGGGATGCTCCGATCCGTTTTTTCGCTGCCGATCTCTACCGATCTCCGATCATTGCCGATTGCCAAGGATGGCTGTTAATTTTTTGCTGTAGGCATAAATATACTATATTATGTGACAAAATGGAAGAATGATCTGGCAATAAATTGACCTAATTTAGACACAACAGACACCCTATTTTAATACATATCTAAAACCTGTTTTTAAAAGTTACATGCTGCAGCTTTACGTTCGGTGCATAGTGGCAGTCTAAGAGAAAGAAGATCGCAGCGTCTTACACCGCCAGCTGGAAGACTTCAATTATTTTTCAGGTTAATTATTTAGCTTTCTGACCGTGATGCTAATCCGGGTGAATGTTGGTAGTTGTTCTTTACTTTACCCACTGTCTGACCGCTCCGGATGTCATTTTTTATGTGCAGTGAGTCTCAGTGTAGCCAAACTCCATCAAGTGTTTGTTTTTTAAATGTCATTAGATTTATTGATGCATTTCAGCCCCCAGGTAATTTTCCGCCGCAAACGTCTCCATTCATTCTCAGAGCATTATGTTCTACTAGACAGAATCTTTTGCCACGCACTTGCACTGTTGCACGTTCACACTGCGCTTTTGACGCAGACTGTGGAATGAGATAAATATGATCGGTTTTGATGATCGGCAACAAGAGACAGTGATCAGCAATCATCAATCATACACTTTTTCATGTAAATCAGACAATTATGATCGGTGACTGATCGATCTGCACAACTCTAGTAATATTGTGTACCTTTATGTGTATTTGAACTGTGCCAAATGTATGACAAGTTGCATGAAGCAATATGCTATGATTATTTATCTGTGGTTGCAGACTAACTGTCAGTGAGAACTTTTTAAAGACTGGTTCATGCATATTGAATATTGATGGCTGATATCAATGAACACTGTGAAATTCTTCTTTTATCCGAAACATCTATTATTGATATATTGCCAAATAAGAAAAAAATATAAAAATTGTATTCATGTGTGAGAATACATAAATGTCACCTCCCCATTGGTGTTTGTTGCCGCTATACATCAGAGCCTGTTTTGGTTTTTGGCCTTCATTGTGCAGTGATTATTTTACATTTTTTTGTAATTTATAAAAGTTATGTCAATAAAGACAGTTTTATGTCTTTAATAGACTAAAAATAACCACAACCATAATTGCTGAGAGCTTTGTCAGTTTAGAGAAATGGATTGGCTTCTTAAAGGCAAAGAAAGGTTACTCTGCTCAGACCAGGGCTTGCATATGGACAAATGTCCATATGCAAGTGCAACATCCATGATGAAGCATGCTGAACAAACAGATTTGGACATTTATCAGGCAGGAGCTGCTTTCTGTGAGTCTTTTCATGTGGATATATAATAAAGATGTGGCAAATATGTGAAGACTTTTACATTTTCTGCTCACATTTGACATCTACTGCAAAGCGGATGGGCCAACAATATCATTTTAGGGTTACTCGTGGACAATATCAAGGCTTATTCTTTCTTTATAAATAGTGTGATCCAACTAAGCAGAAAGGGGGAGGCAGAACTGCTCCCCAACAGATCCTAATGCTCATCATACAGCTAATGTTTACTGCTTCACTGTTAGAACTATCAGCTATTTTGGTAATATGCTGCAGTAGCTCACATTAAGTGTCACTGCCACAGACCCAATTTGCTTTTAATGGCCTGTGGTTGATTTACCTGAGGACTCCACAATGTCAGCTTGATAGATCATGAAACTAAGCCCATAATACTGCCTCTAGGCACAGAATTCACATAAAGAGATAAGAGATAAAAGTCTTTATTGTCATTGTCACAGGAACAACGAAATTTAAAAACTGCCATCAGTCAGTGCATATGCTTAACAAAACCTAGATCCCCCAATTTGTCCACCAGTCTGTGAGGGAGAATAGCATTAAAAGCAGAACTGTATTCCACAAAGAGCATCCGCACATAGCTCCCCTGCTGCTCCAGATGTGACAGAGCAGCATGGAGGGCTGTGATCACAGCGTCCTCTGTGGATCTGTTGACTCTGTAGGCAAACGGGTGGGGGTCAAAGCCAGGAGAAATAAGTGCTGTAATATGGACCAGTTTTTCAAAACACTTTGTCACCACAGGGGTTAGTGCCACTGGCCGGTACTCGTTGAGGCAAGAGATGTGAGGTTTCTTGGGTATAGGCACTATGATGGAAGATTTCAGGCTAGATGGAACTGTAGACAGGGCTAGGGACTGGTTGAAGATCCTGGTGAAGACTCCAGCCAGCTGATCACCGCAGTCTTTCAGGACACGTCCAGGGACGCCATCAGGTCCAGCACCCTTCCTTGGGTTGACGGCCCGCAATATGCGCCTCACCTCCTCTGCAACAAGGAGTGTGGTGATGGATTGCTTGGTGTAGTGTGGCTGCCTATGTTGGCTTCACCTAAAAGCGGGCAAAGAAGAGGTTCAGCTCCTCTGCCAGCTTGGTGTCGCCTTCCGCAGCTGCGAGGCTAGTCCTCGCAGCTGGATTCCCTGCCACACCTACCTGCTGTTGTTACTATCAAGATAGCCCTCTATCCTCCTCCTGTAGTTGGACTTAGCCTTTTTGATGCCGCTCTTCAAGTTAGCTCGGGCTGTACTGTAGACAGTCCTGTCCCCACCCCTAAAGGCAGTATTCCTGATCTTTAATAGTCGCTGGACCTCCTGAGTCATCCAGGGCTTCTGGTTTGGGAAGACCCAGATGCGTTTATCCATAACTAAAGATAACTATTTCAAAATGAAACATTATTTCAATGTTTCTATTTATCAAAACCATAAATAATACAATATATATGTAATTTATTATGCATGTAAACATCTGCAGAGATTAAGGAGTTCATCAAGGAGGAAGTAGTTGTCTATCCTAGAAAAAGATCAGAAGACAGGCAAAAAGTTTAACGTCAAAGTAAAATCATGACAAATCTGTTAACCTTGCAGTCGCAATGTCCCAATCCAATCCCAATCCAATCCCAATTATCTTTTCATGGTACCATTCAACTTGTCTTAATGACTTGTAGCAGAGAGCTTGTTTATACTTGCCTCTCAGTACAATCTTACTTCCAGTGATGGGAAGTACAGTGACAGTACAGTAATGAATGCCTGTCATGTAGCGAAGTACAAATAGACCACCACCAACAAGCACAAATGTCTGCCTCAGACTGTGACGTTGGAAGTGGCACGTTCATGCCACAGAGAACTCCATGTATTGCCCAAGGTTGTTCCATCTGATTCCAATGCATTTCAAAATTAAACAAAACCAGAGCTTCATCCTCTATATTCCTAAATAAACCCAAGTTATAAACAATCAAGCTCATCTGAGTTCATGCTTTTTGGTCAAAATTAAACATATGACAACCCAAGTAATTTCTGAATTTGATCTTCTCTTTCAGTGCATATTTAAGGATAAAAAGAAAGGAGAGGGATATATTTTGTGAAATATGCATTTTTGTTTTTAGTAAAGCATGGTTTGAGGAAAGTCATTCTAGTTATAATTACAAAACAGTGCATGAAGTTACAAAGCATTCATTGGTCATTAATTTCTTCAAGTTTGTAGTTCAGCATTAAAAGTTAGAAACTTCTTAGATTGAGTTTTAATCTTTATGGAGCTAGTTAAGTTTTTGTCAAGCCAATGTTTTTGCTACTTTGGTAAAAATCTCAACATGCATGACATGTTATCTATTTTAACCCCTTCACTTTTGATTTTATGCACATTTGAATTTTGATGTTACAGCCTGATGTTACACAGGGGGCCACGCACCTATTGCAGTAGCCTATGCTGACATTTTCAGTTTCTCTTTGGTAAATTAATATCATTTTTATACAATTTGAACTTTATGACAAACTCATCTAGTTCACCTTCTTTCATTTCCTTGGAAAAATCAGTTTTGTCATGTGATTGCGACTAGTTGTCTGGCCCAGAATAGTCATTGCAGAGAAAAGAATTGACTAGTCGACTAATTGGTGCAACCCCTACCACTGAATGCGACGTGGCTATCCAGCTCTATCCTTCTGATTCAGACGATGATTTTCAATACTCCACTTGCTGCTGAACATTCTCCTCTTCCAGTAATTTGACAAGGTCCAAGTCCCAAACACCTGTGCGCTCTTTCATCTTCAATACTTGAGCTTCGTCTCGCACCTCATTAGCATCACTTAAACATCTGTCCGAGGTTCATCCTTTATTTCCAACAGCATTCCAGTCCTGTGACCGTACACCACTAAGAGGCGTCAGACATCAGGCTCATTCTTCCGGGCCACCACTGCCTTCACTGCAGCCAAAAACAAACACTTCAACATCCCAGCACTCCACCACAGGCGTCTCAACTCGTCAAGGTCTCAAGTCCCTCACCTCAACAGCTCTTTACAGGAGAAAGGAATCCCTTTCAGCAACAACAAGTTAAGTTTCTTCTGATTCCTTTCATATTACATACTTCATAAAACAGCAGCATCTCCATCAACCAAACATCCCTGACTTTCGTCTTTTCTTCAGTGTTTGTTTCCTTCTGCAAAATCTCTGGTGATGTCATTTCTGATGCCGGCTTGTAGACCTGCATCAGAGCGTCAGGCTCCTTCCTGATTACCACAGACTTCCAAAGTCTCTCCGCCAAGCAACACCACAGTTCAACGTTCTTCATCAGAAACTCGACTCCTCCTCGGTGGTGGTCAACAGCACCACCACCAAAGTCCAAACATCCCATGCTTCTGCTTCTTTCTCAGTGACCTCTGCATCTCTGGTGACATTATTTCTGCCTCCACTTGCACCAATTCCTGTATTTCATGAAAGCTGAGGGTGAGAGATCAAAAAAGCTTTATCTAAATGAAAGATGTAAAAATGGACAAACTGAATTTTCAGCACTACATTCAAATTTGCGCCTTATTATCTTTGAAACAGCATAGAAATGCTTAGAAGGAGTAGTTCTGGTTGGTTGAAGCTGGAACAAAATCTAAATCCTGTGTTTCAAGAACGTTGAGGGTGAGAGACCAAAAAAGCTTTCTCTCAGTGAAAGAATTGTCAAAATTTGACAATTTGTGAATTCTCAGCACTACATTCAGTTTTCAGCTTTATTAGCTGTAGAAGAGTATAGAGTGTTGAGTAGCAGTAGTTCTGGTTATTTGAAACTAGGACCTAGTCTACATGTTGTGTTTCATGAGAGCTGCAGATGTGAGGTCTAAAAAAGCTTTATCTCAGCGAAAGAAGTAAAAATTGGAGAATCTGAGGGTTCGCAGCCCTGCTGTCTTGATTACTCCTTGACTTTCAACTCCATCTACCCACATACACTGGTCCAGAAGTTGTCTTCTCTTGAACTGTGTCCCAAACTGGGGAACTGGATTCTGAACTTCCTGACCAACAGACCTCAGACTGTCAGGATCCACAACACCGTCTCTTCCTCCATCACTCTTAGCTTTGTTGAGCTTATGTCATATGTCATTCTGCTGACATATAACTTCTCAGCCCGACACCCTAGCTATCACATAGTGAAGTTTGCAGACGACACATCAGTAAAGCGAGGCCTTACGAACAGTGATGAGTCCTAATACAAAGAGGAGGTGGAACACCTCGTGCAGTACAGAGAAAATAACTTCTGTATCAATGAGAAGAAGACCAAAGAGATGGTGGTGGATTTCAGAAGGGACAAGGATCCTCTTCAGCCCCTGTACATTGGAGGAGCAGCTGTGGAGGTGGTCCATGAGATGTTGGTACCTTAAGTGTCAGCATCCTAGGTCTGGTCAGGAAGGCCCAGCTAAGAACGGAAGCCACCAACTTCCTAAGGAAGCAGCAGAAAGCTGGAATTGGAAAAGCCATCCGGAGGAGCTTCTATCGCTGTGTGGTGGAGACCTTTATCTGCACCTGCACCAATGTATGGCGTGGCAGCTGCACTGCTCCCAAGAGGATAGCTCTGCAGAGGGTGATTAAGGAGAAGGAATCAGCAATTAATTCAGCTTCATCTCACTTTTTAAATTGTTTACACACACACACACACACACACACACACACACACACACACACACACACACACACACACACACACACACACACACACACACACACACACACACATATATAAACTATATCACTTTATTGATTAGATTTCTTAATCTAGGACTTGAGTCCAAATTTTGAACCACAAACAATCAAAGCTGGTGTAACTGTCAATCATTGAATCCTTGATTGAGCCAGCTGGATCCACCCAAGCCACTGCAGATGAGTTCCAGAACCATTAGAGGATCTCCATCCAGATGTCAACCGCAAAGAGAGTGGGTGATGAACACTTGACTCCAACTTTGTGTTTAATTGAATCTGAAAAAAGAAGACATATGGAGACGATCCTGCCAACCACCTTTGACGCCTGCAAAAAGCTGAAGATGAATTGTCAGCAGAAGCTCATGTGCAAGGCTTGCATGTGCTTCATCTGCATCAGACCAAAACAGATTTTGCCTATTTGTGTTTTCTTTATTCTGTGCTAACTTTTTAAGCTGACTGATCTTCAGCCTTTATAGGCCTACAATACTTCACAATGACCCTTCATTGTGAAGTAAGTACATAGTACATTGCGATATTGGCATTTTTATGTATTATCAAAATTTTTATAACAATGTTTATTATAATCAAAAAATGGAATGCAATAGAACTTTTACATCATGCTCCACCTCTTTTGATTATCTGACTAGTCTTATAAGATTGGTCAGCTACAGTCTATCAAAGCTATCTTGAGCAACAGATATTCTTTCTGCTCAGGACTAGGAGCTTTCTCTAATTATAATTGGCCCAGTGTTGGAGCAGAATATTAAGGCTATCATGCAAAATCTACAGTTAGGAAAACCTGACATTAATTTTGTTGACTTTAATGAAGAACTGGACTATGACTCTGTATCTGTAAATACTATTCTTAAATGTTTTAGGTCTTTATTTGGCACATAATGTTGAAGGTCATCTTACCAGGGCAAAATGATTTTTGAGAGAGAATAAAATCTAGTCCTAACTCCCATATTTTTAAAGACAATTTATGATTATAATTTGTTTTATTATACAAACATTGCCTAACTAGAACCACATCATTAATGTTCTGATATTTATTTTGAAGCATAAGTAATAAAACTCACAGCGATAGATCAGCACCATCTGAGCTCTCCAGACTCAGAGTGGACCTGCAGAAATGAACCTCCAGGCTAAAACTTCATCAGCCTCAGACAGTGTGGTTCCCTGGAAAATGAGAAACATTTTCCTTAATCTCTCATATCATCCCTCTGTGATCCTGAGTGGGTTCCTATAACTAACATATCCCTTCATATAAAATAGTTGATTTTTAAATATAACACATCAGAAGACGCCAACAGAATACAAGCAGATCTTTAAGACTGAACTGACTACTTCTTGGCTTCAAATAATACCTGAGATCGCATATCACTACTTACATAGGCAAGTCGGCGTACAGCTTTTGGAGTTGTTAGAAGACCTTGAACGCGCTCATGGAGTTCTTCCCATGATCTGTGAGAACTGAACACAGACGAGTAAAAAATTCAACGGTGGTTATATAATCCCACATAGTTTAAAGTGTAAGTAACCCCCAAACTTTTTTTGCTAAACTTTCTAAAGATATTTAGGTTTCAATTTTTATGTTTATGTGTAAACTTTGACATTTTTGTGTAAGTTCTTTTTTTAAAAATGGTACAGCTTTTTAACACTCAGCTCCACCTGGTGGTGAATCAAGAGTTTGAAGAGCTACAGATGTGTACCCTACAAGCATTGACAATAGCGTTACTCAGCTTTACAAATGTGTGATTTATTTGCAAAGTGGACACAGCGTGGAATGGATCTCCTATTCTCTGACTATTGGAGTTGGTATACTGCAGATGGACAACTATCACACTGACTGCAGTGCTTAGGAAGCAGGAGGTGCTCACCACAGCTCTCAATGCTCATTGGGAAACAGCAGAGAGTTGACACCACAAGTCTTCCACAACACAGAAAAAGTCACTAGTTGCCATTTTCTTCTAGGTTCTGCTCACTTTGCTGACATTTTTCAAATTTTGCTTGGGGTGGTTTCACAGGAAGTTTGTTACACTTTAAGAACCAGAATATACAAACAGGTCAGAAAATCTGAATATTTTGAAAAGAAAAAATTTAAATCTTTTTATTTAGATTCCTCTGTCACTTTGACAGGAAAGGAGGCAAGTCAACAAAATGCAGTCAAAATGGTTTTACTTGCACTGCAGGTCACATGTACACTGACACATTTCACAGTGAAACAAAGAAGCTGGCTTTTACATCTTTGGGCTTTTCCAACACTCAGGTAAAGGGGATGACAAAATAAAACAAGAAATAATTGACAGAAACCTAACACAAAACAAATGGTACCAAATAATATTTACATGCATGCAAATTATTGAATCTAAACTATTCTAAGGTCAATCAACAATTAACTTTAACTTAAATATAACTCTTCAAAGCATAACCCCTCTTAATTGAAAATGGTATGCTCCAGGAGCTTTTTAACAGCACCTGGAGCACTTGTCTGTCTTTGCTTGCCCCACCCTGCTGAGGAGACACACCCAAAAGGTTAGACTCAACAATTAACCTAACAGTTTATGTACGGTAATATTCTAGTTTTCTGTGACAATAAATTTTGGGTTATAATTTTTAAGCCATAAAAATGAAAATCACAACAAAATAAAGGCTTGAAATATTACACTGTATGTGTAATGAGTCCACATAATACAAGTTTTACTTCTTGAAACAAGTGACAAAAAAATACTAAGCTTTTTCCCAATATTAAAATTTTTGAGATGTAATTGTAACTTAAAGACAAACCTGTGGTGGTGGGGCAGTTCTCTGTAGGATAGATGAAGGGGTAAGGGCACAGGGTCAATGGACTCATGCGCTCCTAAATACCTGGAATCAATCTCAGATTTTCCTCTGACCTGCTGAAGCAAGAACAAAAAATTACAGGATGAAAAAAAAATTATTTTAACTGGAAAATATAGCAACAATAAAGATAGCTGTCAAAATGAGGACTCTTTACCAGTCTACAACAAGTCCAAGTTTAGTCCATAGAATCAATCAAACTTCTGCTTTTCCAGCAGAATCAGGATTCTTTGTCAGCAAGAAAGATGGCTCAAAAAGGCATTGGAGTGTGGGTACTGTCATGAGGTTATCAACTGTTCAGGCAGCATCTCTTCCTTTCCTTCTCATGTAATTACAGAACAAGTGTCTGGTCTGCTGGAGCTGCATTAAGCAAAAGTTGAGTCTAATTTTCCACCACCTAAAAAAACTAAATAGCAACTTCTTTACAGCTCTTCCAAGTTCCACAGTTACTTAAAAAGATCCTTTAAACTGCTACTATGGGCCAGCGTTAATTCGACAGGCGAGGCTTTAATGTGTTCTTCCCTGGTCAACCCTAGCCAGATTTGTTTCCATTTGCAGATCCTGTGCAGTTCCTCCCTGTTTTACAATTAATTGCAGATAGATTTACATCACTGCATGAACGAATGCCTTGGCGAATCCTCAAACAGCATCTCTGTCATGATTGGTGGTTGAGGACCCAAATACAGAATGGCAGAGAAGTGGAATTGATAATGAAAAAGTATTTAATGAAAATATGATGAACAACAACTTACAAAAATCCCACAGAAAGTCAGAGTCCAATGCAAAATGTAATCTAATGGAACACAAACTGGAAGCCCAGATGGGACACAAGGGGGAGCAGAACGGGGTGGTAATGGAAGGACCCAGTAAGGAGCTTAAGTACTGGAAGGCTGAATGCTAAAACAGAGGACCTAACAGATTGGAAACTGATTACAGGAGGGAGAGAGAAGAAAGGCAGACTGAGAAGAGACAGAGAGAAAAAGAGTGAAACACAAGAAAATAAATCTAACACTAAGAAATAAGAGGCACAAGGAATAAGTGTTTATTCTAGTTATGTTTAACTAGAATTTACATAACTAGAAACACTAAGAAGGACTGAACTAAGTAAAACCGAAACAGGACTAACCTAATCGAAAATAACAAATAACACAGAACAATGATGAAACTAAAATAACTAAGGAAGAACTGAACCAAAGTAAAACAAAAGCATAACTGGTCTAAATAAAAGATAACCTATGAAACACAAAACAAAACCTAACTAAGCAACCCAAGATTATGACAATCATCTACTGCAGTGGACCAGTGGACATCACAGACCAGTAATCAGAGAAAGGTTCCTGGAACATTAGCAGCTCCAGGAACACATATTTCAACTTTTGAAGCGTAATGACCATGATTCCACAGCTCTGCCAGCATTTCATCTCTCTGAAGAATGGGCAGCAATAAAAAATAGCAAGAAACAGTGCAGCTGTGGTCAAAGATATGTTGGAGACAGTTACAGTTCTGCATTGGCTGGTGTGAAACACAAAAACTACACAGCATTTGATATGAATGTGCATTCTATTTTGATTTGTTTGGGGGTTTTCCAAGAAAGTTCTCACGTGGATATAGAAATACATCTTTTGACTACACTACCTAAATCTGACAGGTTGCACATGTTACACAAAATATCATAATAATAATTATGTGCCACAGTATTGGCACATTAGTTCAACTAGTCAAACTAATATTTAATTATGTTTGGATCAGCAAGACAAAATATCTGGGTTAATTTGTGTAAGTCATGGCTCCATCTGGACAATATCACCCAGATGGAGGATGAGCTCTAACATCTCTAAAAAATTATAATTCCATAAACTGGAAGGGTAACGGTGCAAGAAATAGAAGCGTAATGCTCTCATGACTGTGTGCTGATCCCTCATCAAAATCACTTTGTAAGATTTTATTATACAGCACTCCCATAATTTATGTTCACCAACACCGAAAAGAGAAAATGTTAGTCCTCACCAAGCTCCTGGACTGAAGTCGTCTGGAAGCAGAGGAATGGCTCACTGCAAAGTCAAATAAAAGACAGAAAATAATCATTAGCTGGAGAACTGGGTTACAGAACTCTGATTGCATCAAATAAGGAGAGGCTTTTTGATAACTGAGTTTGGTCAGCAGTGGAGTATAACTATAACTGGAGTTGGAGAGATTAACTATCCAGTTGTAAAAAGTGATTATGAGCAATAACAGGTTTACACAAGAGTTTCTACCTGTGGAAGAAGACCTAGTCAAAGGTGAGGCAGAACGACTGGTAAACATTGTAGAGCATTTGGGTGAGGCAGACACACTAGCCTCCAGCCAAGAGGACATTATCTGGGACAGACAAGACACTCAGTCAATGACGGCGTGTAATCCACATAAACAGCTGATAATGTTAAAGATTGCCCGTACTAATGCTTCATAATTTGACTGGTCTCCTAGGAAACAAGTTCCAAGAATGGATGCAGAGGTTTGACATTTGATGTTTAAATAACATCAAATTCACAGTAATTTTTGTGACTATGAACAAAAGCGTGTGACGTATCCATTTGCAATGGCTTTCTTGGACACTGCAAAAACACAAAATCTTCCCAAGTATTTTTGGTCTAGTTTATCGTGGAAATAGTAAACTTGAAATAAGACAAAACTAACTTTTAAGTGATGTTCGATACCAGCAGTTTCTTATTTTTCAACAAGAAATAGGATTTTGTTTGATGGATTTTTAAAAAAGTATGAATTACACTGGCAGATTTTTTTCTCTTCTAACAAGACATTTTCCCCATGTTATAAGTGAAATAAGCTAACAGTATAATTTGTTCTTTTTCATCAATATTAGGAAATTGTTGACTTGAAACAACCTGATATTTCTTGCTGAAAAGTTAATCGTAAGTTAGTCTTGTCCTATTTCAAGTGTACTAATATATTTGCATTAGAAACTAGACAGAAATACTCGGGAAAACATCAAATTTTTCTTGTGGAAAAACCATGAGCACCTATTATTTCCTGGCAGAAAAATGGCAATGTAGGAAGCTACTGCTAAAAAATATTGCTGCTGAAAGCATTGTCTGCGAAGTACTGGGACAGACTTGTTCTGAGGTGTGAGCCACTAGTATAAATCTAGGAACAGGTGATTGAGAATGCATCTGAAAGCAAAGAGTGGTGAAGACTTTCAAACAAGAGCAGCAAAGAATCCACAGCTGTTTAAGAAAAATATCAACGTGGACATTTTGGGATAAAATGTCCACGTAAAATGTACACTTACTCATTACTCAGTAAGTGTAATGAGTAGAGACATAACACCTAAACGCAGCATAACATAATCTATTATTACAGATTGTTGTGTATATATCAAAACATATTTGTCTATGAATCTCTCACTCAGATATACAAAATGGCGCAAATTTACAATTTGCTCCATGCCATTTTTGCATGGAGCTATTTGAACTTTAATTTTATAGCAGTTCATACTAATTAATTTCTGTAGTTATTACTTCAAACATTTTCTTTATTCTCAACACCATTTTAATAGATATTTTGTATGATTTCTGTTACAATGATCTGGCTGCAGTAAGTGAGGCTGCTACCTCAATGTACTTGAGTTAAAGTTGAATACCAGTGATGACTCAAGTGATATTTTGTGTTCTTTATGAAGCCAAGATTTGAATTACACCACTAATTTTAAATCTACCTGGCGCATTAGGTATTTTTGAACAAAGTATCATGTCAGGTCAGTATATCCAATACCTGCTTAAATTTTACTGAGCATTGGTATCAAACATCACTAACAATCTTCATTAAGTGTGTCGAGGATTTGTTTTTTTTAAACTGCTTTCCAATGTATGCTTTGCCTTTCATTCCAATGTATGAAACAGATTAGTACAATGCTCATCTGTTGCGATGGGATAATTTGAAAAAGTATTCTACTTTCTGTGCCTTTCATAGGCACAGGAAGTGCCTATCGAAAGAAGAATGTCCAGGCAATATCTAAACTGAACAGGCAACAAGAGAAAAATGCTTGTGAGTGAAAGAGAAAGATATGCTGCATGGAGATGCACCACACTGCCCTCTGCTGCCTGGAAATAATGGTTAATTTATGATTTAGTTTTTTCCCCCAAGTCAGCTTTAGCTGTTATGTGTGCTTACAGGCTGAGAGCTTGCCGTCTCCCAGTCAGTGGGGTTGCAAGGTGCAGAGCCCATACTGAGTTGGGCCAGACTGGGGATGTACCCATCTCTCAGTGAAGAAAGGGACTGGGATCTGGAAATGTATGACAGAGGTGAGGCCATCCTGACACTTCTCTCTCTTTCAGCAATCCGATGAGGTGTAGATCGAGGTATGTTGGAGTGCCTCTTATTTCTTCTTTTCCCTGCCCACTGGAAACAAATGAGGGAATGCCTCACAACTATGTAAGTAATACACATACAACTTAAGTTGTATGTGTATTACTTACACATACAACTTCACAACTATGTAAGTAATACACATACAACTTAAGTTGTATGTGTATTACTTACATAGTTGTGAATGTGTATTACAACTCATACAGTTTTGCTGAGAGTAGCAAAACTCTACTCTCAGTTTTGCTAAGAGTATAGTTTTGCACTCTTAACAAAACTGTACTTTTTGCTAAGAGTGCAAAATACGTTCTATGGCAGAAAATCAACACTGCACATCACTGTCAACACACCATTATTACGTGGTAGGGACAATGACATAATGTGAGGATATCATGTCATAAATTATACATTTATGTGTTAGAATGGCCAAGTCAAAGCCCTCACCTAAATCCAACTGAAAATATGTGGCAAGGCTTAAAAAACTGATTATATATGAATCTATTATTCTTTGCAAAGAAGAACTGGCCTGATAACAAATTATATGCAACACTTTATGTTAAAAAAATAGTTTTAAAATAGGCATTTTCTCTCACGGCTATGAACTACTTTGCATGGTGTACAGCACCAAAACCCACAAAAATAGAGTAAGTTTGTGTTTGACAAAATATGAAAACATTAAAGGGGTATGAAAACTTTTACAAGGCTCTGTATGATAAAGCTCTTAAAGATGATTTTAGGACAAGTCTTAGGATGATCTACAAAAGACCCAGATTTATCAAAGAGGTATGTTGTACACTGATCTTGTTAGATCTCTGAAAATGTTTGTGAGTGAAAGAGAAGGATATGCTACATGGAGATGTGCCACACAGCTCTTCTCTGCCCCCTGCTGCCTGAAAATGATGGTTAATTCATGATTTCGTTTTTTTCCGTCAGCTATAGTTCTTATGTGTGCTGATAGGCTGAGAGCTGTCAGCACACATGTCTAAAAGCTTTAGCTTTTAAACATTTGTTTTGAACTTCCTAGTGACTTGATCTTCTCCATGCGTTTAAATTTACAGTATCTCTTCTTACCAGTGGAATGTTACAGTAAGTGGTAACCTTTGTATCAGGTGGACACTCAGAAATTGTAGTCTTGGTAGAAAACTCTAACCGAGGAACAATACTCTGGAGAAAAGATAGTAGTGTTTACAAATTTACTTTCACAAGATCAGATATGGAACAATTGTTGTACAGCTTCAAAAAGGATTAACTGAGTTACTTACAAAGAAGTGAGCAGCTCTGGTCATCAGTACTGCTCGGTCCACTCCAGAGAAGGACGGAACTAGCTTGGGCTCTGGAAACAAGAAACTACGAGCATCTTCTTCGAAATACGCCAGAGTGTCTCCAGCTACAAAATGAACATGATCTGTAAATGACTAATGTCAAGCTTGTGTCATCATGCTTTGAGTTAAGTAAAAACTTATTTTTCTTTGAACTCCTGTAAAGATGGGCAGAGTTCAATACCATCAACCTGTCCAGAGACAGGTTACTGCAAAGCAAAATTATCATTTTATGGTACAACCTGGTGCTGCGCATCTTCCTTCGAAAAGGTCAATGAAAAACAGTACACTGGCTCTATACAACAGATCAAAAAACTAGAATGCTTTACAGGCTATGGAAGGAAAAACAAAAAAAAGTAATAGAAAGCAATAAAGCATAAAAGTATACCACAATACAAATATTAAGTAAAAATTTTGATTTAAGTTTCATTTGTAATTTCTATAAAATGTAAATGCAATTTTGCTCAAAAAAATTCTCGCTTCTAGTTTCGTCTGGTCTTTCTCCCCTTCACCCAGATTGTCTCTGGTAGATTTTCTACCAGACCAATCAGTGGACAGAAGAAGATTTGATTAATGACGTTTATTTTTCTGTTCCGTTTTAGAATTGCAATCTGGCAATAGCAGAACTAGCAATAGCAGCAGAGGAAGTGAGGGAAACTGTTCAGTTTATGTTTGCCACACTTCCAAATATTGAATTAACAACAGCTGCCTCATTCGGACAAGCTCTTCTCTCTTCACAGTGGAGGACAGTAGTTTACAGCACAGAAAATTTATGATTTTGCTCAAGCTAAATGGTGTCGAACCAGCACTTTTACATACATCGTAGGCAAAAATTAGCAATTGGGTAAAATTTTAAAACTCAACGCAGTCCATGCCTCCAGGAAGCAATCGTTTCTCAACAGCTAACACCCCAGAATCTCTGGATGAAGGAAATTGCATAAAACAAGGGTCTGCTTTTTATCAGGCTAGGTTTTCAGGGAGTTTGTTCCAGATCTGAGCAGCAAATAAAATAAATGCTGCCTCCCTTGTTTAGTTCTGGTCCTGGGAACATTGAACTCTGAAGAACTGGTTAATACTCAAGGAACCACTTAAATATGTATTTAAGCCCAAGGCAATTGGACTATTTTCCGGACTATAAGTTGTAGTAATTTTCATAGTTTGGTCGGGGGTGCGACTTATACTCCAGAGCGACTTATGAGTGAAATTATTAACACATTATTATATCATATCAGGTTATTTTCACAATAAACTGCAAGAGGGCGCTCTAGGCCTGTGTTGATAATGTGTGTGGTAGAAGCTACCTCCGAAATTAGCGGAGTTGTTTACAAGCGACACAGAAGATGAAGATTTAGTGATTTGGAGTGACACGGATTGCTTGGTAAACTTGTTAGCATGTTATTGATGCTATAGTTTTCTGAATAACTCTTAATATGTTATGTTAACATACCAGGTGCAGAGGGGTGAAAAACAAGTTACTAGTAAATGAAGACAATAAGTAAGAAAATAGACACCTCTAACAATTTTTCATTTTGAATCTTTTAATTTCTTGTTGTAATAAGTTATTAAGCGTTATTTCAGTTAGTCCATGCAATTCTCCACATGACCACTAGGGGACCATTTAAAGTAAAGGTTTTGACTGGTAGAAAGAAATCTCCATGGAGAAATGCACAAATAGTTCGGTCTGCAAGACAAGTCTGCCGCAGGGCAGAACGACAATGGCGTAAAACTCAACTTCACGTTCATCACGACATCTACAAAGAAAAACTACGTAACTATCACTTAACACTAAAACATGGAAGGGAGGCTTTCTTTGCAGATGTCATAAACAAAAACATCAATAATGCTCGAACTTTATTTGCAACAGTTGACAGGCTCACAAACCCTCCTGTGACGTTTCCACCTGAATTTCAATCTAATGTTGCCTGTAATACGTTTTCTGATTTCTTTTCAGAGAAAATCCAAAAAATCAGAGGATTAATCTGCACATCAACTTCAAAGCCAGAACCACTGCTGTACCAAAACAAAACAAATACAGAAAAAATGACCCATTTTCAACTTAATTATAAAACTCTAAAAGAAATTATAAGTCAATTAAGTTCAAGCTCCTGCTGTCTGGATGTCCTTCCCACACATTTCTTTAAGAAAGTCCTGCCTGTTATTGTTACTGATCTGATCCAAATAGTAACTCATCGCTTACATCAGGTGTTTTCCCCCAGGCTTTGAAAACAGCAGTTATCAAACCACTGTTAAAAAAGAACAACCTGGACAAATCACTACTGTAGAATTACAGGCTGACCTCTGACCTCCCATTCATCAGCAAAGTTATTGAAAAAACTGTGTGTAAACAATTAAATAGTTTCCTCATGATGACCAACTGCTTTGACACTTTCCAGTCTGGTTTTCGTGCTCACCACAGCACGGAGACTGCCCTCGTAAAAGTATTCAATGATATCCATATAAATACGGACTGTGGGAGAACCACGGTACTGGTTCTGTTGGATCTCAGTGCAGCTTTTGACACTGTCGACCATGACATATTACTGAATCGACTTGAAAGTTGGGTTGGACTCTCTGGTTCGGTGCTCGACTGGTTTGAATCCTACATAAAGAACAGGGATTTCTTTGTTTCAATTGGAAACTTCTCATCAAAGAGGTCAAAGGTCACATGTGGGGTACCCCAAGGTTCAATCCTAGGACCCCTCTTATTTAATATTTATATTCTCCCACTAGCTCAGGTCATAACAGAAAATAATATTAGCTACCACAACTATGCGGATGACACACAGCTCTACATTACGATGTCACCAGGTGACTCTGAACCCATCCAATCACTGAATAAATGCTTAGAGCAGATAAATGTGTGATGTGCCAAAACTTTCTCCAACTGAACAAAAATAAAACTGAAGTCATTATTTTTGGACCTAAAGAGGAACAATCTAGAGTCAATGCACAGCTTCAGTTATTACAACTAAAAACTAGCGATCAGGCCCGAAACCTGGGAGTAGTGATGGACTCGGACTTGAACCTCCAGAGCCACATAAAGACAGTAACAAAATCAGCCTTCTATCACCTGAAGAACATCTCCAGGATTAGAGGACTAATGTCTCAGCCAGATCTAGAGAAACTCATTCATGCGTTTATCTTTAGTCGCATTGATTATTGCAACAGCATCTTCACAGGCCTGTCCAACAAATCAATCAAACAGCTGCAGCTGATCCAGAATGCTACTGCTCCTGTTCTCACTAAAACCAGGAAGATAGAGACATAACACCAGTTTTAAAGTCCCTCCACTGGGTCCCTGTAGCTCAAAGAATAGATTTTAAAATACTGTTATTAGTTTACAAATCACTGAACGGTTTAGCACCACAATACATCAAAGATCTGCTGTTGTTGTATCAACCTTCCAGACCTCTCAGGTCTTCTGGTTCTGGTCTGCTCTGCATCCCCAGAACCAGAACCAAAAGAGGAGAAACAGCTTTCAGCATCTATGGACCAAAAATTTGGAACAAACTTCCAGAAAACTGTAAAACAGCGGAAACCCTGACTTCCTTCAAATCTCAAGTAAAAACGCACCTGTTTAGAGTTGCATTTGAAATGTAATATGTATGGATTTGATTTTGTGGATATGTATGTAAATGTTTTTTTTTTTTTTTTTTTTCCTGTTGTGGGCAACGGGGCCCGGTGAATACCCGTGGTTAAACGGACGGCGGAGTCCGGCGGTAACAGGCGCTTAAATTCCGTGTCAAAGGGAAGGGGGAAGAAAGGGAAAGAAGAGGGAAAAAAAAAAAAAAAAAGAGGAAAGGAAAAAAAAAAAAAAAAAAAACTTGGTATTTTATTCTATGTTGCATGCCTTTGTGTTTTGTGTTTATGATGTAAAGCACTTTGAAATGCCTTGTAGCTGAAATGTGCTATACAAATAAAATTTGATTGATTGATTGATTGCATTGGTGGCATAGAAAAGATTGAGCTCATAAAAAGAATAAATCTTCCGTTGGATGTTGATGAGAACTCAACGTGTGTGTCTCATCTTTTCTGTGTCACAGTATCACACGTTGGAGGAAGATCGTTTCTATTGCATTATTCTCAGCCACCCAAGGTTGGAGGGTAACAAATGTGGGGGCTCGTCCAGGATAGTGCCTCCTGCTGGCTTGGTGCTATCCAACAAAGAACCGAGCTGAGGACCTAAGGACAAGACTACAGGATTGCCTTTCAAGATGACATGTCTGTTCCTGGTGTTGGATTTTATCAAATAAATTTCCCCCAAAAATGCGACTTATACTCCAGTTCGACTTATAATATGTCTTTTCCTTCGTTATTATGCATTTTATGACTGGTGCGACTTGTACTCCGGAGCGACTTATAATCCGGAAAATATGGTAATGCTTGGGCTACACCAGAATACAGATGTCTTTCATATGTCATATATATGTTACCTGTTACCTACCTGGAGGAATCAGTTGCACCAGTTCTATTCTGACAGTTTCATCTGTGAAGCAGTGCAGAAATTATTATTGTTAGCTATAAATGCACATTTAGCCAACTTTCTCCAGTTTGTATTAATCAATCTGCAAAACATAATATTTAAGGTTATATTCTTCATCCCCTCAGTTATTATTATGTTTTTGTGTATCTCAGTTTCATCATCAACAGGTGTGCCTTCTAAGGCACCTTAACTGTGGTATAAATCTAAATACAACAAAATTAGCTATGTATACAGTTTATTCAACAGAAACTAAAACAGAAGGAGTCACCTACACTCAAGCAGTAGAGCTATTTCTCCAGGGTCCACTGCATGCCTAAAAATCTGTGGGAAAACAATGATAGATGTTTCTGATCATACATACTAGTTATTTAGAAGATAACTGGTGTGTTTCTCATCATGGACTGTGTAATAAATAAGATCTGTGATTATGTCTGATCTCAGGTATGTTTCTATCCTTCAATGAGTAAGAAATTTATATATTTGCCTTTTCAAATGTAATCTTCTCGTGGAACAACAAAGGAAAGACTGCAGGGACACACCGAGACTGACGGAACTGATCCATGAAGAACATTTTGAGATAAACGTCATCTTTGACTGACAGGTGAACTCCAGGGCAGGAAACCTGAGAACATTAGAGAAGCAAAATCAGCATCAGAAGGATTCAAGTCAGACAGGTTATCATAGCCAATTCCTCCCTTGCTGGGTACAAGTAGAGGCTGTTAACAGCACTACAAATTGTATATTAAGCCTGGATAATATTTCAATATCAATGGAAAAAATGATGTGGAGAGGGAGAGAGAAGGTGAGCTAGAGACACAGGGGATGAGGGAAAATAAATCGAACACTGAAGAATGATAGACACAAGAAATTATTAAGCTAGAGTGACTAAGAATAACTAGAGGAAAATAAACAACTAGAAACACCTAAAAGTAAAACCAAACATAGCTGATCTAAATAAAAGAGGAACTAAGAAACACAGAAATGAACAAAACCCAACTAAACAACCCAAGATATGACAGATTTTACTTTAGTTGACTGGAGCGAGTCTGGGAATTAGCCTAGCTTAAACTCATTTATAATTAATGCTCTTTAAAATTAATTATCTTTTCCTGCTAGGTTCGAATAGCATTTTAGCTTGTTGTTCCCCTGCAAAAAAAAAAAAAAAAAAAAAAAAATTCAGTACATTCTGAAACTTTGGCATCTGGTACCAGATGATTCTCGTTAGCTTTTTCTGAAACTCTCCTTGCTATAAAGGGTAAACAAAGCAGAAACAGTAGGTTCTATTCTTCTTAATGGTTATCGAGGTAAACTTGACACCGCTCTGGGGCAACCTCTGTGTGCTTATAGTGCCAAGACAGCGAAAAGACAAGCCCAAAACGATGGACTGCTGGCCACAACAGAAACCCAATCAGCTGTGCCTAAATGTGTCAACAGACAAGTTACATCACTTATTTAAAATTGAACTGCCTTGTTTTTAATTCACAATATATTCATTCAGCATAAAAGACAACGTTTTTGATTCAGTTTGAAATTCCAACAAGAGGAACCGCTGAATCTCTAACACTGACAAGATGAAAACAGACAGAGAAATGGCCTTTTAGTTGGGTTGAAAAAACATTCCACAAAAATTAATTGGATCAGCTCAGGAACAGAACGTTCATAACTGCAGGTCAAGGAATCTGGTTTATTGACCTACCTGCAGAAGGGCTTATTTTGCAGCCACAAGACCAGGGCACTTTTTATCTATTGAGTCAAGACTTATATGAAACTATACAGATCAGAAAGGTAAAGCTTGAATGTTTACTATGGGAGACCCTTCAGTCCACAGTCATCAGCAACTGAAGAAAGTTGGATAACAGGAGAACATCATTTAATGTTCCTTTGGGATAATACTGAACTATGCCTTCATATATAAAAGAGCAGTTGTAAATAATGATGAAAATATGATGTTTTACATTGGACTTACGCATTTTTGCTTTTTCGTTGAGTTACAAACGATGATAGAATGAAAACTGTAGTGTTTGCACACTTGAGAATATATCAAGTTTGCACACTTGAGAATATATTCATAATTATATGAAATATAAGAACCGTCAAAGACGAAATCATTTTAGTTATGCCCTCATTCACATCACCATATATAGAAGGAGCGTAAAAAGTACAAGACAACGTTTAAAAGCGTCACATTGTAGAAACACATCGTGAAAGATAGGTTCTTTCTTACCGCTCTGAGCTTTATTTCAGTTAACACTTTAAGCGCCTTCCGGGACATTCAAACTTATTTTAAAGGACTTAAACCACACAGAAAACAGCAGCTTCTATGAGCGTGTTCTATGCCTGTTTAGCGTAACTTGGTTACCATGGCTCCCAGTACTTCCGGTGTATGGTAGATAATCATGGGCCCAGTCTCAATTCTCAGTGCGCCCCTCTGTGAAGCGTGGATTCATTTGAAGTGCACATAAGTGCCCAAGTGCAAAAATTGGAGAATTGGGACAGTACGCCCCTGAGTCGGCATCCAAAAATGCGGGACTGCTGACTGTTTAGTTTAGGCATTTGTGCTGCCAAAAAGTACAACTAGAACAACAAAGAAAATATTTTAAAAGTACAGTTAAGGTATTTTTGCTTTCCAAAAGTCACCACTGGAGATATTTGGCTATTCAAATGTGTTTTGTTATGGCTTGTTGTATACAGAAAATTATATGCAATCACATGTTCAGTAGAGTGAAACAAGAATATTTCAATATCTTACTTTTGAAAACTGATTTTACTCTCTCTCTCTCTCTCTCTCTCTCTGTCTCTCTCTCTCTCTCTCCCTCTCTCTCTCTCTCTCTCTTTGCAACAGACAGCTTGTTCAATTAGCTTTGCCATATTTCCAAGATGTCATAAAATATACATTAAAATGTACTAATAATCAATTCAACCGTCTGTGATTAGAGACATTACTTTTTTGACTCATAAAACCATCTTTTTATCCATCTAAAAGTTAGTTTGGAGGTAATGAGCTAACAAATATCAAGTAAAAATATATATGTATTATATATAAAAATAGGGAAAAAATGCATGATGATACATTGTGAAAAGACAAAAGAACAAATGGAATTAAAATGTCCTTTTTAAAGAAACTATGAATGTTGTGATTTTATAGACAAAAATGAACTCTGACATTAATTTTTTCCTTCTGGTCTAAGAAGAAAACATTTGTTTAAAAATCATCACAATATCTCTAAAGAAAATAAGAACCAAATAGCTTTCCTTTCCATTCCTACAAAAAACGAGATGTTAATTTCATAATTATATGAAGTTTTCCCTGTAATGACTTTTTACATAAGGAATTCAAAATAAATATCAATTCCTGTGTATTTTGTGACTGTGATTTTAAGACAATATATATTTTTCTGTTGCGACTTCATTAATGTTTTATTATTATTATTATTCAAAAGTGGATATTACAGAAAATCCCTATTCCATCTTTAAGTTTATTATAATGAAATTTGGTCTTCTGACAGGGGTTAAGATTAAAATTTTGATACTAACAATTTAATCATCTGGCTAAGTTTTTATTCACAAATACTGTTTTCCACAAATCACCTCCATTTTTAAAGTGAAATAATTATTTAAGAGTGCTTAAATGAAATCATAAAAGCCCAATCTTTATACCAGTATGTTAATAGCTTAATTTAAGTTTTGAAATTTGACTTGCATTTGTAATATTTTGATTTACTTTCCTCACAATTAGTTTGTGCCATTTTTTTTTCTTTTTTTCTTTTCAGGTCAATATATCACACTTTTTTTATTACTAATGTGTGCCTTGTAATACTATTTTCTTTGCATTTTATATAAAGACGGAAAAAACAAAACACGAGAAGAACCTGCTGCAGCAATCAGAAAGGGGCGGGACGGACCACTGTTGATAGGTATTTATGAATCTAAATAAAAGAACAAACAGACAACGTAAGTGAATTTTATGAAAGCTTTTGCAAAAGGAGAGAACCCAGCAAACTGCTGCTTCAAGCCGTTCACTGAGCGCTCTGAAGACCCTTTGTTAGGGCTTCTCTTTTATTACAAAGTAGAAAAGGAATGTGGAGGGAGGCAGATAGGAGTATCCCGAAGATACAAGTGACTGCAGCTTCAAGGTCTGAACACAGCTGCAGCTCCAAAGTCTAACAAGTATGAAAGCTTTTCTCAGGGAATACCAAATCTATTATAACTACCAATGTAAGAATGATAACAAAACATAATTATTCTAACAACTGTCACTCATTCATTATTTGGAAACAGGACCATTGCACTCCGGAAGTGCAGGGGGCGCTATTTCCTATATTAGTCGCGGTCTCCCGTTTTTATTTTTGTTTGAAATCTGTGGTATATCTTCACCTTTAGGAAGGACTTTCACTCTCAGCATGTATTTAAACTTCTCTTTTATTTATTTCAGCGTAGTTCACGGTTTTTAACAAATTCTGTAGCTTTCTGTGTTCTTCTAAATCTTCTTAGTGGCATATTTTCTGGTCTGTTACTGCCTCTATTGGCGTGGAGGTGGTAACACAACTAATCTAATTACATTACTAAATTAGAATACCACAAAGTTTTCATTGTTTACTATTAATTTCAGCATTACTGGGATCGTAAACGATAATTGTGTTTTAAAACAACATATTTTTTCATTTCCTTTAGGATAGGTTGGAGACAATTCAACAATATGATGGTTGACCACTGTCATGTTTTCTGGGTTTGCCCTTTGATGTATTCCTACTGGCTAAAGATAGTCAAAGATATGAATAATTCCTGGATTTGGAACTGAACATAATGTATTTGTGTAATTTACAATCTCAAATCTCAAGATAAGTATTGCTTGAAAGTACTCATGAAAGCAATGAAGAAAATCAATAAAGAAAAGGTTTAGTTGGTCAGCCACTGTACAATAAATCTTTGAAATGGAAATGCTTACCTTCTCCCTACAAAGCCCAAAGATTTGGGTCAAAATAGTCAACATATATGAACTCAAATGTAAGGTGATTCAGTGACAATTTTGTATCCTGAGTGGTAAAAGTGATTTGGTGCTGGCCAGAATAAATCAGCTGGGAAACTTTCAGCTGTTACCTTCATAAGTTGATTAATTTATGTTAGTGCAAAGGCCCCAGGAGGGCCCATTCTTATTTTGTACTAGAGAGACTTATTTGGGGGTCCTCATGTTCAAAGCTGATGGGTTTGGGCCAATGCCTCATCTCATCATTTCATCAGAGTACAATGTGCCCTGTTATTCAAAACTCTGGCCATTTTTTTAAATGCATCATTGTCTCTGTCCTTCGATGAGCTATCTTTTTCATGTGCTGTTTGATGTTTCTGTGAAGTTGTTCTTTGTAAGATTATAAATAATTAAATAAAAATAAAGAAAAAAAAACTTAAATCTGAGAAGAAACTGAAGTGTTCAATGAACCTCATAGGAGCCAGAACATAAACTTCAGTTAGGTCTGAAGCTCCTTTTAACCAAATTGGATGAATAAAATGCCAACAAAGAGTTGTGACTTACTTTTATGCTTTAACAAATGTTTTCTTTGTTTTTTAATTATTCAATTTGGCACAAGTCTGACATTTCTGCTGGTAGGTCCAAACAACAGAAGTCTAACAGAAAGAAAATGATATGTCATAAAACTGTTGACAATCATAATTTCTACAAATACCTGAAGCAAACTAAAAAAAAAAAAAGCCATTAATAAATAATCAGTAAAACAAAGTGCCTGAAAATGAAAAACATTATTTTTTTTTACATGTTCAGTTCCTCAGATGTTGGTACTAAGCTAAGATATGTCCATTATTCAGTTTTGGTCTCTGATAGCCGTTTGCTCTGCTGCATCCAGGTCCGAGTCAGAACCGGGACCTTCCTCATCATCCTGGTTCTCCTGGCATTTTGTTCCATCCTGGCTGATGGCTACAGCTCCCTTTCTCTGAGGTAGAACAGTGAAGAAAGCCTCCTGCCAGCTGCCCTTCTCCAGATAAGCCAAGATGATCTCAAAAACTAGAGAACAAATGAGAAGTCAACATTAAATACCAGAGAAGAAATAACTATTTCAATAAGATGCTCATATTTCATATCTGAGACAGATTCACTTAAATATGCTAATTTCTTTTTACATGTACTTGCAATAGAACTTATAGAAAACCTATGGAGTGTTGTTTTCCATGCCATGCTGCAGTGATGCAGTAATTCATGCAAAGAGTCTCAACCTACTATTGAGTGCATAGAAATAAGCAAACTTTTCATAAGCCTGATATTTCTATTTAAAATATTTTTTCTTTTTATCTCAGGTAATACTTTAATCTTCTGAGGCTCAGAATTTTGGGGTTTCATAAGCTATAAACCATAATCTTCAAAATTACAAGAAATAAAGGCTGTGATTAATTTAAATGGCAGAGTTTCATTTCCCGAAAAAAGAGAGAAAAAGTATTGGACTTCACCACAATATTTAAAGTAAGTCAAAAATAGTCTCTTCTTTTATTTCAGCAGCATTGTCACACTGTGAAAATGAAGACAAATACAACTTTTCCTTTATTCAGTAAGAAACGCTCCTACATTAGGAAATATTTATTTCAGTAATTTGATCTAAAGATATGGTCAAACTGCGTCAAAAAGGGCTCAACAGGAGCAACAAAAATCAACATCCTCCAACTTATATCTTTATTACATCCTGTTTTACCATCAATAAATGTCACTACTTACCATGATTGACCGCCAGAACCTTCCGACTGTTCATTTTAACAAAACTGCTCAGAGGAAGCTGTGCATGGCTGATTCCCAACTCCTTTGCCCGTTCATAACTAATACCCTGCAACACAAATCCCTGCAGGTCAATCTAATCCCAGAAGTGAGCTGATGGCTGTACCTGCAGCAGCTACCTGCAGCAGCTACCTTATGGTGGTTGTGGTCCACCAGGCCTCCAATCACATATGCCTTCTTCTGGTCCAGCTCCTCCACCACATTGGGGGAGTCCGAGGTCAGGTACACCAGCTCATCCTTAGCCACCACTTCACTGTAGTGTTCTGCTTTAATGGTGATGTCCTGAACACAATGTGAGCATGCAGATATGCACACAACCATACAGTTACACACATCGAAAAATAGGAATTTCTTAGGAACTGTTTGCTACCAAAACAGTAAATTTTATGTCGATATAAAGGGAAACGCTAAAGTAATTACTCTGATTCTGCCACAAATATAGCTGTCTGAAAGACTACATAAATAGTGGGGGTGGGGTTATCTGCTCTATGTCATCTGCTCTTTTTAGAGAAAAAGACCTGAGTTGTCTCTGAGTGCATAGAAATAAGCCAACTTATAACTATGTTCCTGATTTAAATTTCAGGAAAAAAAATATC